GTTTGACTTGAGGGGTGGCATTTGGAAGGAAAGGTGTGGGGTGTTAAAGGCTCTGAGTGCTTGAGGCTGTGAAATGGGCTTGTCCTGCTTCCTTTGGGGCGCTGCTGGGTGCCTGTGCCTGGGGGAGGCAGCCCTGCTGCAGGAACTGGGAGCAGGGCACGGGGGCACTGCTTTGGGGGTGAGGCAGGGAGATGGTGCTTGGGGGGGACAGGCGCGAGCTGGTACAGAACCTGGCTAAGCACTGCTGTAATTTTCCTTGTTGCCTCAGAGTGGCATTCAGCCCTGTTTTCCCGGGGCAAACACTGGTGCTTTAATGACTTTGCCCCCATTCCTGGGATTCCTGCAGCCTGAGCAGGTGTGTTACCTGTGCTTCGCTTCTTTGCTTTGCCCTGGGAGAGACATCGGCCCAGGATCTGGCCCATCTTCTTCCTCCAATTTCTCCTCCATAGTTTCACTCCACCTTTACTCCACCTAGGTGTGAAGAGGGAGTTTCTTGCTCCTGAGGTTTGGGCACTGGCAGCAGCAGGAGGTGTTAGTGCTGGACTTGCAGCTGAGAACAGATGCCCAAATCCCACCTCCACTCCTTACAGTGGAGTTTGTGGCCTTGGAATCATTGGGTTTGGCATTCTGCTCCGTGATGCCAGAGCAGGGTGTGGAGGAAGGCTGAGCTGTCTGTGTGCTTCAGGCCCCCCCCCCGGGCCCAGGGTGACCTGGCAGCAGGGCTGTAGCTGCAAAAAACCCCACACAGAACCAGGTGGGTTGGTTTTGGATTGGCTTGTGCCACAGCAGCAGGGAAGCAAATGGACACCCTGAGCCACGTCCCTGCTTTACCATGGCTTTCAGTCTGCTGGCGTGGCTGGGGGTTGTGGTGAGGAGTTGGGAGTCCTAGCCAGGCAGTCAAAGCCTTTGCCCTCTGCTCTCCAGCAAGAGCATACCTATAAACATGTGCTCTGTGCAAAGAGCTTGTCAGTCTGATGGAGTTTGGTGACTCCTGAGGATCTTTAGGATCTTTAATTCCTCTTTCAGAAGCTTTCTTGGTCTGAGCTCTGCTTCATTTCATAGCTTTCCCATTTTATGCTGGATGGTTAGAGCTGCAGTGTGCTGCCAAAAAGCGTTTACAATGGTTTTCCTGAGAAACACTGAAAGTTGCAAGTCCAGGGCTGAGGCCCTGGCTGCTCTGCACAGGTTGCTCAGTGGTAAATGTGTTCAGAGGGAGAGCTGTGGCAGTTCCACTCACTGAGCAATAAGTCAAGGCAGAGCAGCTCCATCGAGCTGTATCTTCGTGCTTTGGCTTGGGGCTGCAGGGCAGGGTGCAGGAACTGACGGAACAGCGAGATGCTTCCAAACAATGTGCTAGCCCTTAGCTACGCAGCCACTAAGGACATAAATGATGCTGCCTATGTAACTGGAGTGCTGGAAACTGGCTTGCCTCGCTCCCTTGTCTGTCTCCCATCAGTTCTTGTGCCTCATATCCCATTGGTAGCAGCAGTCAGGCTCCTGGTATGGGGGAAGGCCTTGAACCCGTCCCTCCAGTCCTGCCTGGTGCCCTGAGCTCAGCTGATGGGAAATTGTTGCTTAAAGAACGCTTCCAAAGACCCTCTTGAAATACTTCACTATCTGAGGAATTCCGTGGAATACTCAGAAGGTGATGATAAACCATTGGAATGTGGCTGCCTATCCATAAAACCATTCAGCGAAACAACGTTCAGATGAATGCAAAACCTCATTCAATCTCCCCTTTTTGCTGTGGTTTGGTGCCTGCAGGCCTGGGGTTGTTTGCTCCTCACGCTGGGATACACAGCGTGCTGCCAGGTGCCCCTCGGTGCCACCAGCACAGCCGAGGTTTGCCTGTGTGCTGGTGTCCTAGGAGAGCCCAAGTGCAGTGCTCGATGCACAGCGTGGTTCTGGTGATCAGAATCAGAAAGTGCTTTGCTGTGTGACTGCACATGCAAGGATCTCAGCATCCAAGCACCTCAGGAGCCGTCAGAGCTGCAGCCTCCTTTTTCACGTGGTTTGGAAGCACGGTTCTGAAGGAAGACTTGGGGGTCTGCCCTGCCGTCAGGCTCTCCCCCACCTCACTGGCAGCTTCTGCTTGCTAATTTGACAGATGAGGCTTTGTGCCTTTTATTTTTTAGCAAGCACAAAACAGGTGGCTGGGATGACGGGCAAGTTTCCTTGGCTAAATGGGCGCTCCCAGGCCGACCTCTGCTCCTGTGTGACTTCCAACGTGGGGTGTGATCAGGAGGCTGAGCTGGGAGAAGCTGCAGCAAGGTTTCCTGCCTTGCTGGACATGAGAATGTATCCCTCAGGGTCCATCTCCTTTTTGTGTGGGATCCTCGGTACTTACCAGGACTGTTTGGTGGAAGAGGTCTCTCTGATGAGGATATTCATTGCTTCTCTTCCGTGTGGGCTCTCTGAAGCCTCGTGAGGGGGTTTGTTCAGCCTTTAATTCAATTAAGAAGTCAAGCAAGAGTTGCAAATCTGGTTGGTCTCGTTTGTTTCAATGCTCATAGCTGCATCCCAAGCGAACATCTGCACAGCAGAGTGGGGCAGCACAGGGAGGAAGGATTTCTATGGTTTCAGCTGAGATTGCATGTGTTGCTGGGGGCTGGGGAAGGATTTTTGTCCCATGCAGAGCATGAGATGGAGGGAAGGACTCCAGCCCATCAGTGGCAGGACAGTGGTGAGCAGTACGCAGATACCTGCAATCCGCATTGCAGTGACTTCTATCTAAGGTCATCAGCTGGTGCAAATTGGACTCAGGCAACTGGTGGATGGTGAGTGGATGGAAAGACAGGAAGGGTGGTTCCTGCTGGAACACCCTTTGGTAATGCTGCTGCCTTCATCTCAGCATTATCTTGCTGAATTTGCCTCTAGCTATGGAATGCTGTCTTCACAAAAGAGAAATCGGGAGGAAAAATACCTATTTTTTTTTTATCTTGGTGCTCTGAGTTCTGTTTCTTCATGGAATCTTGGAATCTGAAAAAGCATTCATATGCGTGTATGCACATATGCCTGTTGTATTTGTCTTCAAAATATGCATTTCTATAGCTTTGGTAGTAAAGAGCTCTTAAAACCAAAGAAGTTGAGGCTGACTTAATTGTTTAATTTCCTGTGACTTTCAGTAAAAGCTTTAGCTTAGGTTCTGTTAAACATAGAATATGAGGACGTTTATGCTCTGTAGCTCTGTTTCAGGCAGAATCAGGAGTTGTGTTCCTGAGGGGCTGGCTGTGGCAAATCAAGTGAAGTCGAAGCCAGGTTAAACTGAATGCCCTTAAGAACAAGCAGACCTTTGCTCTGCCCCGCTGCAGCTGTATATTTAGCCTATGTGCCCTTTCCAATTACAGCCAGGAGAAGACACCCGAGGAGGAATGTAAGTCATACCCGCCCTGAGCGCTGCCCTGGGATCCATCACAAAGTGCTTCTCGAGCCAGAAGCAGTGCCTTGGTAACTTCTCTCCATAAAACTGACCCCTCCCTCCCTCCCTCCCTCCTTCTTGGGGTTTAACATTTACCACGTCCACAGCCTCGTCCTGCACACGGCTGAGCTTGGTGCATGCCTTGCTCCTGGTGCATCCTGTGCCCAGCCCCTGGTGCCTCTGTACCTGCTGTGCTCTTCCTGCTTCTCACCAGGGCACTGCAGTTGTTTCTCATGCAGGGTCCATCCTGTATTCCAGATTATCCCTTCTGGTGCTTCTTTGGAGGCCTGATGTGAGGACAGCACCATGAAGCAGTCTTCAGTTGTTATTTGGAGTCCCCTCTATGGATTTATCCTAATTTGCCTGTGTGCTGCCAGGACCATGGCAGTTCTGGCTGCGATGTTCCTAATTACAGGGAAAAAATGGTCTCTGAGGCATCCTAAATATTTGGGCCGATAATATCAGTTTCCTTTTAACTGAGCTCACTTGAAGATACGATCTGGGTTGTCTGTTTGGGAATAGCAAAGTGGGAGGAAGGGATTGATTGTGGTTGCTGAAGCTCTCATCAAAGAGAGAAGTCCCACACAGGCAAAATCACTGCTGTGGTCACTTGTGCGGGTCTGGAGCAGCGATGGGTGGCGTGGATTCTGCTGAGCTCCAGGGCATCACAGTGGCACACACTGAGCATGGCTTTTGAGGGACCTGCAAGCAGGATCTCACAGCTGGGAGGCATCCACCTGGTCTTCTAGCAGAGTCAGGTCTGTGTGCAAGCGCCTGGTTCCTTCTTGGTGGTACAGAGCTCCAGCTTGCAAAGAGAAGGTAATGACGAGTAGCAGGAAAGCTTCCCCTGAGCTATGAGTAGGTTAAATATCTCAGTGCTTACTCTAGCAGAATAAAAACTGCTTTGAGGTGTCGATTGCTGTGACCACTTCCCCTGCAAGCTCCATGGAGCGGCTGTTGGCACGCATGACCTGGGGCAGTGAGTGACAGTTTGCAGTTCCCATCTGCAGCAGTGCTGCTCCTCTCCCTGCCCAGCGCATACCTCAGCACAGCCGAGTTTTGTTGTTTTTTCCCCTAAGTTGTTGCTCAGTGTCAGGGTTTCCTGTTGCTGACAACAGCTGTGCTGGAGATGAGCGGAACCTGCTACTTCACATTTGGTCTATGGTTACAGGCGTGCAGGACATGAATGCATTCAGCATTAAACCACCACTGCAGGGGTGAGCTTGTCTTTCAGAGAGGCATCCCGTCCTGTGCACGTCCTCACTGCACGTGTCTGCTCGGGGTGGGGGCATGGCTTCATGGAGGGAGGCTGTCCGTCCCCAGCTTTGCCCGTTTGCTCATGCCAGCTGCGTGCCAAATGTCCCTGAGCAACTGTTCTCCTGCGTGTCCCTCCCATAACTCAGCCAGGCATGCGGAGGCTGGAGCTGGTGAGTGCCTGGGTCACTGCTGTGCTGGAAGGGTGGAGGGTGGGAGAAACCCCCAGCTGCCCAGCCCCCCCCAGCTCCCAGCAGCAGTAGGCACTGGGGCATGTGCAGCACTGTGCCCCTGCCCGCTCCCAGCCGTCCCACCGCATTGCATCATTCCTCCTGCTTGCTGCCTCGACACGCAGCCACTGATGGGACTTGCCCAGAGATTCTCCTGTGGGAACATGCACGAGAGCTGTGCACGTACAATAGATGTGCTTTGGGAAGTTGCACCAGCCCGTTGCATTCTGCTCCCTCTTCCTTAGGGAGACACCATTTGTTTCAGTGTTGTCTTTATGGAGACAGTGGTAAATAAGCAGCTCAGGTAGGTGGGATTCCTCCTTGCTCTCCTTAGTTCCTTATCTGGAGCAGGGCACGGGAAGGCAGCTACTCAGGCTTTTAGCATGCAGGATTCAGAGGCATTAACATGCTGGCAGTGATTAATTACCACAGCCCACTGATGTGACTGTACTTGAGCAATTGGATTAGGTGCAGCTGCGCTGGGGCTCACATCAGCAGGTTCTTGTTGGAGCTGTGATGTAGTTGGTCACACAGAAGTTATTCCTAGGGCAGCTGCACTCCTGGTCCTGCGGTGGGCAGTCAGCGAGGTCCTGTGGCCAGCAGGAGCTGTGTTGCCCAGGTCTCACTTTCAGCCCTGTCTTCTGGCCGCTCTGTTCTGCCTTCGTGCATATGAAGCAGTGCATATCCTTAGCACATCAGCAGGCCTTGTGGTTGCATGGAGGAGTCAGCTCCAGAATTGTCTTGGCAAGTCAGCATCATATCAGCATCACCCAGCAGGCCCGGCTGCGTGCTCCAAGATGGGGATTTGGCATCAGCAATCAGACATCAACATTGGCATGTGTGCTGAGCACCAAGGCCAAAGCAGATGTTGATCCCAGCTTTGATGTTTAATCCAGCATTTTGGAGGTTCAAAGTGGAGACCCAAAAGAGCTCTCACAGAAGCAGGAGGATAAAGAGAAACTGGGTATTTTCATAAGATCAGACAGAGCAAAACATCCTGAAATTCAGGACTAACCTGAACCTTTGTGGTGGTTCTGCCAAACGTGGCAGCACAGATCCTGCCGGAGGAGGGAATGCTGCTGTGTGGAGAAGCTGGGGTGGCCTGGCCCGATAACCTGAAAGCAAGAGGATGAGCCCTGCAGCATGGTGATGCCTGCAGAGCAGAGAGCAGCGGTGCAGAATTCTGTTTGATTTTTGGCTCTGTTCTGAGCTTGCATGAAACGGCAGAATCATGGAATGGCTTAGTTTGGAGGGGGCCTTAAAGATGTCTGGCTCCAACTCACTGAAGCAGGCAGGGATGCCAACCACCAGCTCAACTGCCCAGGATCCCACCCAGCCTGCCTTGAGCGCATCCAGAGATGGGGCAGCCTGTCCCAGCACCTGGCTGGACAGCAGGCTGTTGGCCTTTCTGATCCTCTCTGGCTCCGTGCTAGTCACAGCTAGTCACAGCTCATGGAAGCTCCTGAACTCTCTTATCTTCTACCTGTGACTGAGCAGTCTCAAACAAGTGAGTCTGCGCTTTGCCCGTCGCCGCACGTGAAATAGTTTGGCTGTAACTCTTGAACTCCCCCAGAGGCGTCGTGCAGGTGCCCATGCTTTTTCCACCCTCCCACGTTGGTTCTGTGTGTCTGCACTTGTATCCAGATTCACAGCTCTGTGCTGTGCACAGGTGAGGATCTCTCATGAAGAGACCATAGCTGGGGGCATTGCTCTGCTTCTGGGAGCTGCCCTGCCTTTGGTCCCAGCGCAGTGTGAGAGCCTGGCACCGCTTCAGCTTATTGTTTGGTAAGGAGCTGTATTAAAGAGATTTCTTGGTGGTGTAATGCTGTTCTTGCTTCTCCTGGCTTTTCTTTTGACAATGGCTACAGAATTCTTCCTGTACCTCCATTGTGCTCTGCTTCTGGGTACAGAGACTGTTCTCTGGTTTTCCTAAATGGAATTTGGAATTGGTGTGACCTGCAATTGTCCGACTAGATCTGCACAGCCTGAGTTGCTTGGCTGAGGGGCACGGGCAGCGCCTGCTGCCTGCTCCGGTGATTCTGCAGTGGGTGATGACTTCATCCTCCTCTCCTGCTGGCCACAGATATCAGGGACTGGCTCTGTTCTGCTCAGGCACTTCTATCCATCCCACAGGAACGCCCTGGGGCGAATCACAGAGTTGGCTTAACAACACAGAGCCACACCATGGCAGTGCGTGGTTCCTGCAGCCTTGACAAATGGGGGGCATTGCTGCTGTGGGGACACGGTGCCCACCTCTGCAGGTGTGGCTGTAGCTCTGCATGGCTGCTGCTGGCTAGCTGGCTGTATGTCCTGCTGTCTGCACGTCCATCCCACGCAGGTGTGGAGGCTCAGCTGTGAGCAGCAGCCGTGTTTCTGTGCTGATACCATCTCAGCTCCACAGCAGCCACATTCCTCAGCTGCTGCCTTCCTCCCCTGGCTGCAGCCTCTGATCTGCCCGTGCTTGCAGCACGGCTGCTCTCTAGTCCCTCTGTGCAGCAGGACCTTCCAGTGATGGGGGTGCAGGCGAAGAAGCTCATGGACAAGGTGCTATGGGTGCAGGCTCTGTGGAGGCTGAGAGCCCCTTTCTACCTTCTTATAGCTCTGTGCAGAGTGACAGTGCCCTGGTTTCCCACTGTGGCAGTCAGTGGCCTCACCAGAGGCTCCTTCAGAGCCTTGTTCTGTCTCCAGAACTCATTCAGAACAAGATGTGCAGAGCACGTTGGAAGTTCTCTGGATACCTGTTGCTGTAGTTCTCTTCTTGTTGAGGTGACTTCAAGCTCATCCAAATTCACCATGTCCAAAATTCATCCACATTCCTGTGCCATTTGATGTGTGTTGGATTCTCTTCTCCTGACAAGGCAGGGAGCTGGCAGGAGCTGGAGCCTGCAGGAAGTGAGGCTTGCCTTTACCTATCCAGCTGTTCCATTTCTGGTGGTGACAGTGTTTGGAGAGGCAGCTCAGGTGTTTGACTCTGGGTAAAGACCACAGTGTTGCCTTTGGGAAGAGCCCGGATTTGGTTTCTCTGTTACTCAGCCCGATGTGCTCCTGCCCTGGGCTCTCCTGTGGCCCAGCATCTCACACTGACCCCCTCCCACCTGATTCCCAGGGCTTTCCAGCACTGTTTTCTACCTCTGCTGTTTCTCCTGCCTTTCACTTGAGGGTTTTTTGAGACTGGCGGTGCTCGGATCAGGTATTTGCCTGACAAATGCTGCACCAGAGGTTACTGTGTTCGACTTGCAATCCCACTGCCCACTGTGTGCAGCCGTGTGGCCTCCGGCCAAAGCATGCTGCAGCAATGGGTGGCGGGCTGCAGGGTTTGGGGATGGATTAGGTTTCATCTTGACAAGCAAACAGCTTCAGGGGTGAGGAACGCTAAAGCATCCTCAGCCCAAGGACTCAGTGTCCAGAATAGCACAAGCTCTGCGTCAGCCTCAAGGCGCCCACAGCGAGCTCCAGCTTTGTTCGTTAGCTGGGCGGATGCAGAACCCGCCCTGTGATGGCTTTGCACAGGGCAGCTCCCAGCCCTGCTCGCACGCTCTGCACTCCGGGCAGCAGGAGGTGTGTGAGGGCAGCCAGGCGTACACCCCCGTGTGGGAGCTGTGCTGGGGGCTCTGGCTGGTGGTCGTGAGGCAGGCAGGGTTTGCTCTGGGAATTCGGAGCTGCTGCTCTCAGCCTGGGAAATGAAGGGTTGGTTAAAGGTGCCTGAGCACCTGGGTCCCCGGCAGTCCAGTTCCAAGTGCGCTCTGTGGCCTCACATGCCTAGCTTGCTCAGGTCTGATCCTAGATTGTGTGTTGCTGGCCCCAGAGTCAGGCATGGATACTGGCTAATCCCAAAGACTGGAATAGAGTTTTGAGAAGTCAGGCTATGGGGCGGAGGAGAGGAAGCATCTGTAAGCATCTGTCATGCATCGAGTATCAAAGGTTTCTAGGGGCCTTCATGCTGAGTAATCAGCGTTTAAATTTGCTGCTGCCCCAGCCTGAGTGCAGCTTGCCTCCAAAGACCCCTCTGCACTGTGTCTGCCCAGAGCCTGGGGCCAGTGGGTGCTCCAGGAGCAGCATAACTGTGTGCATGGAAAGCAGGAGGGTCTGATTGCTCTAGAGATGCTGTACATCAGGGAAAGAGCTGGGAAGCTCTCGCTGATAGCGTTAACTCTTAGGGTTTAATCCAAAAGCGAATTAAAACAAATGGGGTGGAAGGTAGGAAGCCCGGCGTCCATCACAAGGAGGTCTGTGCGTGCTGGCTGGCTGGCTGGGGATTGCGATTAGTTTGCTGATGGGTTTCCTTTCCTCACCCAGGTTGCCAGGACCCTTAGGATGAGGCTGCTGTGAGGAGTGGCAGATCCGCTGCCTGCACTGCCGTGCCTGCACACCCCACCCCGCGTCCCTCCTCCGGCTGGAGCGCCGTCTGAGAGCCACTGGGCAGAATGACTGTTGGATGTGTCCTGCAGCCCCCGTTCCTGGGGAGGACTTTGCTCCCAGTGCTGCTGCTTGCAGCCTCAGCTCACTGCCACTGGCCCAGCGAGCCGGCAGAAGTGCTGAAGGACTGGGAAAACCAGCTGGAGGCCTCCATGCACTCCGTGCTCTCAGACCTCCGAGAGACTGTGCCGGCTGTGGTGGGGATACCAGACAGCTCCGCCGTGGTGGGCCGCTTCTTCAGAGTCTCCATCCCCACAGATTTAATTGCTTCCAATGGAGAAGTAGTCCAGGTGAGAAATGGCATTCCTTGGGGCTCATTTTCAGCTGTTGGTGGGGTTACCACGAGAGTGCAGTGAGGTTGCAGCAGAGCTCCCTTGAGGCTTTGTAGGGCTGCGGAAGAAGGATGGAGATCTTTCTCACCTCGTTGCAAAGTTTCTTTCCTCTACGGTAAGGCAGTCGTTGGGACAGTTGCTCAGGTCTTTTGGCTGCGTTTAAGCTGTTAAAGCACACAGCCCCTGGGAGGACAGGCGTGTTCCTGGGGAGATGCTGCCTCAGGATTGGGGCAGCTGTGGATTGCCTGAGTCTGCCGCCGTGACACTCGGGGAGCTGCTTCACTATGGAAACAAAATATTGTCAGACAAACAGGCTGTGTTCTGGGAGCAGGGCTCTGTTCTGTGTTTGACGTAGTCTTTCCTGACCTTGTCCCTAAGTCCTCTTGGGAAGATGAGAACCTTTCTTTTTGTCTGACCTGCTGGCACTGCGGACACCCAAAAGCCAAGCTTTGTAAGCGGTCCTGGGGGCAAGGAAACGTTGAGACAGCCTGGAGGAGGACAGATGTGCTGCCAAACAGATGCTTGTTCAGCTCTTGTCCTTTTCTGGAAGGGTGCTGAGAAGTTGTCTCAGCATCTGCTGGGGATGGAGAGCTCAGGAAAATTCTGTTTTTGAAAGAAAGCACACTTCCAATCTTAGGGGTTGTTTTTTTTTTTCTGAAAGTAGAATTGAAAAATACTTTTAAAAATCCATTTTTGGAAAATGTTGTAACAGGCCAACCTTCGAGTGCCTTTCAGAAGATCAGAGGGAGATAGAGCAACTCAGGAGGCAGCCTGACATCTCAGCCTCTCCTTGCAGGCAGGTTTGTTTTAGCTGTGCACGCTGTTGAGCAATTACATCAGTCTGGATTCACGATCTCGCTGTCTCCAGCTGTGGGATTGCAGCATCCTGATGGCAGGTAGAGAATCTGAAGAATGCATCTGTTATTGACGGGCTGTCTGTCAGATGGGGGATAGAGACGTGCGGTGGGTGAGCCCTGGGGCTAGCTGGAGGTGGGGTGGGCTGGTTTCAGAGCAAGGCTTGTGATGATTGATTAACCTGGTGGAGGGTGGTGGTGGCTGCCCTACTTGAACCACTGCCAGGTGGGGGTTCGTTAGCACAGGACACTTATGTGAGGGTACCAGGCTTCAGCTTTGGAGGGAGCAGACTCTTCAGTGTGGATCTTTGTGAGCAGGAGGGTTGTTCAGGGCTGCTGTGCCCATCAGCTCTGCCTGGTTCATGGCTTGGTGTGTGGTGGGCGCTGCTGCACATCTCACATCTCCTTCTGTGAATTCACTGGAGGAAACTGTTAAGATCTTGTATTACAGAAACGATTGCTTTGTTTTTGAGTTTTGTTGCAGGCTGGCTTGTTTTGGTGTTGTCTAATGGCTACTTTGACAGCAAGAAGGCATTCTCAGTGCTTGTTCAACACCACAGCTTCTCTTCCTGGCACAACAGTCGTCTTTGATAGCTGTAGGGTGGCTCTGTGGTGCATTATTTCAGCCCCATCTAGCAGCTCTGAACAATACTTCTGCCACTGGTATCGAGGAGTCTTTGCTGATAGCAACAGATGCTTGGAGAGCAGCAAAGGGAGCGTGCTGGAGCGGGACTGGAGGAGCAGTTGCTGGTTGGGATGTAGATCAGCAAAGGCTGGGAGCAATTTCCACGCTCATACGTGGGTTTGCCTGAATGCACATTGCATCTGTTCACCTTGAAATTGATTTTAAAAGTGAGGCAGGCTCTGTGGCAGTGCTCCTGGCCTCACTTAGCAGGCATCTGGAAGGGCTCTCCCTTGCACCGAGAGCTGTGTTGGCTGCTGAGCGAGGCCAGCCTTCCCAATGGGGATTTGATTCCTGGCATACATAGGCAATCCTGGAGTGCTGGGGTGCTTTCAGGGCAAGCTGCTCTGCTCTTTTTCTCAGGCTGCCTGAGCCAGAGCAGTGATAACATGGTGCATTTAGGGTTTTTCACACAGGGTGGTGAGGCACTGGAACAGGTTGCCAAGGAGGCTGTGGATGCCCCATCCCTGCAGGCATTCAAGGCCAGGCTGGATGTGGCTCTGGGCAGCCTGGGCTGCTGGTTGGTGACCTGCACACAGCAGGGGGGGTTGAAAGTGGATGATCTCTGAGGTTCTTTTCAACCCAGGCCATTCTAGGATTCTATGATCTGGATGTTGCTAAATGGGGTACTTGACCCCTAATGAGAGAGAGTAGGGACACCCTTTTGAGGTGTAGCAGTGAATCGGTGCTTACAAGGAGATGTACTTGCCTACGTTCAGAGCCCTTAAATTTCTAGGAAGCTGGATATCATCTCATTTAAGAAAAAGGAACAATTGATACATGACATCCCCAAGCCTCAGGAGCCTGAGAGTGGTGTGGCTGCTCCATTTCTAGGCAGTTCCCACCGATCATTTGTAGGCTCCATCCTCACTATGGTGGGGAGCCCCTTGAAGCTGCCTCCCGGCTCCTCTCCCTGCTGGTTAGCAGATTCCAGCCGCCTGTAGACAAAGTAGTTTTCTCTGCAAACTTGGTTGTGGGCTGGAAACAACGGGCAGCATTGGCAGCGCTGCGGAGGAGTGCCTGGCAGGCGCCTGCCCAGCTGCGTGGGCTCACTGCACAGTCAGGTAGTGCTGCTGCCAGCAGGCACCAGTGCTTCCCTGCTACCCCCTGCCAGCTTCGGAGCAGGTGAGGTGCTATGGCTGAGCACAAAAGCAAGTTTATTCCAGTGCGCTGGGGCAGCGCGTCAGAACGCAGAGGTGGATGTGCAGAGAAAGGAGCAAACCCTGACCTGTTGCATCTCTGCAGCCAGCAGGGCAGCGTGCTCAGCTGCGTCCTGTTGCTGAGAAACTCATCGCACCCAGGATAAAAACAGTTGGATTTCCTGCTCTTACTGCTGCCATTTGAAGGCTGTTCCAGAATTGGGCTGCTCTGATTAAAAATGCGACTTCTAGCCTAAATTTAGAGATAGCTAGAAATATTTGTGCTGCCCTTTAGCCTGAATCTCTCTTCCACCTTCATAATATTTACTTCCTTTATGTATTTAAAAGTGACAGGCATGTTCTCCTGTCTTGATTTGGTTAGATTAAACAAGCCAATCTCTTTAGTCTTTCCCCATAAAATAAGCTTTCTTTTCCTCTCCTCATTTTGCAGCTGTCTCCTGCACCTCTTCCAGCTTGAGTTTATTTTTCTTGTGGGTGCCTGACCAGAGCTATACAGAGTACTGCAGGCAAAATGTTGCTGGAGCCTTGTATAAAACTTCCTTTTCTCTGCTATAAATACCCCATCCCATAACTGTGTGCTTTTCCATGTCTGCCTTTGGCTCAAACCCGATGTGATCAGCTGGAATACCCAGAGCTGTAGTCTTTCTCCTTCCAGTTCAAGAGGTCCCAGAAGAGCACATTAGCCAAGGTGAGTGGTGTGGGATTTGATGTTACCATTCTTGTTCTCAGTGAGGTCTGGGAGTGCAACCTTTAAGGTTGTCCCATGCTCCCTGTGTGAAAATCTATGCCTCCCATCGCTGCCTGAGTGACAGCAGATAATCAGTGCAAGGGCAGCAGCACTAACACTTAGAGCACTGTTGTCGCAATTTGGAACAGTGGCTTTTGCAGCAAGTGCAGCTCTCTGCTCTCAGCACCCCCACTCACATCAGGAAAGCCAACGCCAAGTTAAAACCAGACAAAGGACAGCATTGACGTGGTGTTTGCCCCCGTCCTGGCTCCAAGAAGCTGATCTGGCTGCTGGGGAAGCTGTTGCAAAAAGCATCTGATGTCTGCAGGAGAGGCTTTCTGGTGCCAAACTGTGAACCAGAGGCACCGTTTCTCCAATCTGGTTGCAGGAAACAGGAGACATCTGGGCTTCCAGCGTCTCTCCAGGAACAGCAGGCAGTGCCCCCAGATCTGAACATCACGTGCAGTCGCAAGGCATGCAGCTCAAACACAACTGTTAGGTCGTTTCCTTAAACTTCTGCCATTTGTAGCCATGCTTGGTAGAGCCAGGCAGAGCTGGGGAGCACAGTGGCAGCGGGGGTGGGGAGTGGATCAGGCGTGGGGCAGGTCCCAGCAGCACATCTGCCCAGCCAGTGTTGAAGAGAAGTCTCCAGGTGAGCACGGTGGACTCCTCCTGGCCTTGGCTTCTGATGTGTTGGTTGTGCAGTGCACGGCCTCACTGGGCCTTTGTGGGGAAGGTAGGTGGAGCACGTAGCAGGGCCCCGAGGAGCTGCTGCTCTGTGCAAGCATAGCTGGTGGTGAAGTGATTGCAGCAGCAGAACGAACTTAGGCAGCTGCTGTGCGTGGTGCATCTGTGCTGAGGGCTGGTGAGGCCATCTGAGCGCCGGGTATCAATCTGGGCAAACAAAGTCTTTGCTTTCCAGGCAGGAGCCTGATCTTTCCAAAGGTTCTTCTGCTTACCATTTGCTGGAGCGGCTCTTGCTACACAGCTTTGCTCTCACCAGCCCTCGGGGAGCCTTGTTTTAGGGTTGGGTTGCAGGAGTCCTGGCATTAGAATTGGCCATCAGTGCCGTGCCTCAGTGTCAGCACCAGCCCCGCAGTGCACTGAGCGAAGGGTGCCGGGCACACCGAGCTGCATGGAGGGGAAACACTTCAGCAGCTTCACCTCGCTCCCCTGTTTCCTTAGACCTTGACTAACTGACAGATGAAGCAACAGCAGCTATTTACAGTGGCTGTGCTGGGATAGAAGTGATGTCTGGAGCAGGTCCAGGCAAAGGGCTTCTTGGGCAGGGCGCTGCCTGAGAGCAGTGCTGCAATTGGGGCGATAAGAGGAGCTGATAAGGCTGCTGTTGGGGGGCTGAGAGACTGCTTATCTCCTTCCTGCAGCAAAACAGTTGGGGAGTTTGGCATTTTCAGTGCACGCTTAGTAACAAGCTCTGAATTTGGAGGAGTGGAAAATGTGACTCAATCTAATTATAAACCAGCACTTCAGACAGGCTGGGAAGTTCCTTGTTTTGTCCTGCTCGGCCGGGCTGCTGCCCTGAGCATCCGGGGAGACTGAAGCAAGGGAAGCAGCAGCACCCTGTGCACAGCCTGACCCGGGGCTGCCAGCTCTGCTCCCCTCTCCTTGCCCCTCTCCCCAGTTCCCTGTGATGTGCTGGTGGCAGGAAGAAAGCTCAGTGCTGGCAGCACCAAGCCCCCAGTGCTCGGCATCCCTGCCCCCTGGTATTTTTGCTTCCCTTTGCCCTTTTGCTTACAGAAAGTTGCTCTGAGGGAAGATCCTGCCCCGAGCTGCGTTTTGAGGCCACGTCAGGCTTTTCCTGCCCCACATTCACCCCCAGCCATGCCACAGGGCAGCGCGTGGGCCGCACCGTGACAAAGCGGCTGCACAAACCGCAGCCACGGCCCCCATGAAAGGAGGGTTTCTTGGGACGCTCCGTGTTCCGCTGTGACCTCCGGTGAAGCAGCCGCTGTGTTCCCTCGCCCAGGCCCGGTGGGGCTCTGAATGGTGCCCTTATAGCAGGAGTGAGGGCATGGCAGGGAATGGCATGAGCTGGGGGCGGCCGCCCGGCACAGGGCCAGCGGGTGGCTCAGGCAGTGCTGGGGGAGCAGAGCGGGGCGGCTGCCTCTGCGTGACGTGGCTGTGTGTGTGCTGCCAGGGAGCAGCTCTGTGCTGCCTGCACACGCCTCGCTCCCAGCCTCCATGGGCAGGTGGGGAGGCTCAGGCTCACCCTGGCCGTGCCCTCTCCTGCAGTCCTGCAGGGTGCTGGGGCTCAGCTGATATGTGGACACGGGGAGAAGGGGCAGCGTAGAGCTGCAGGAGCACCCCTCAGCCCTGGGACTTTGTAGGAGAGGGTATGGGAAGTGGGAACGTGGAGTCCTCGGCTGCCCTGGGTAGCAAAGGTCTCGCAGCACAGGGTTGGGGAGTCTCCCTGCTGCCCCCAGCATTCACCTCCACCCAGCAGGGCTGTGTCCTGGCACCGTGGCAGTCCTGGCATGGGATCACTGCCTGCTTTCTGCAGGATTCCATGGGAGGAGGAGGACTGAATACTTGGAGGATTAGAGGGGACTTTTGTAAGCAAGAATGCAGGTTTTTTCTGCCTGAATTCCCTTGGAGGCAGCAGCTCTGCTCACAGCTTGTTTGCTTGTCTTTGTCTCGTTGGCTACAGGGCTCTGAGCTCCAAGTTTGAAAAACAAATCAAATGGAGCTATCTTAGTTTATGAGCTGCCTGCCTGCTCCTGGCCGGCCTAAAAATAACAGCAGTGCGTGTGTGCTGGGAGCGGGGTCTCAGAGCCAGCCAGACCCCTGTGTGGATTTAAAATTACTCGTTTTGTGATGGTCTGCAGCATGCTACCAGGCTGCTGTAACCTTTAGCCAATAAGCATTGGTTTACAATTATCTCAGCTATAGGAAAAACAAAGGCAGCCCTCTTTTCTTGAGCAACAGAAGAGTTGTTTTGAAAGCAGAACTCTGCGGAAAGTTATGGGGCTTAAGGCTGATATTTATGGTGTGAGTGGAAAGCTGGGAAACTGTACATGAAAGCGAGAGATCCTGAATCATTAACCTTGCATTAACCGTGTGCAGCCTCGGCAAATACTGTCGGAAGTGATATTGGAAGGAAATGCTGATAGAAGAGTCTGGAGCCCTGCTCACATGCAGCACAGTTCCCTAACAGCAGTGACGTGACCAGGACAGACCTACACAGAGGGCTCTGCTGGAGCCTAACACGAGTCCTTAAGGTCGTGAGTTCAGTCAGACCTGGGGCCAGCAGCGTCCCCACGAGGTTCTGCTTGCTGGTGGTGCCAGCAGTGCATTTCTCTCCATATGCTTCAAGGAGGAGCAGGAGAGAAGTTGGTCCTGAGCAGTTGGCCTCCACCTCCAGGACCCTGCCATGTCTGCCAGAAGAAGCTGTTAAAGTAAAGCTGGTAAAGTAGTTTTCAAAGCAGAAACAGTACAGTGAGCCATGTCTCACTCTGTTCTTTTGGCACATGAGGTTGGGCACTATTTCTGAGTCAGTCTGGTTATCCAAACAGCAATGTGAGGAGCACACAGGACTGTTGGTTGTGTGCTGGGAGCCTTGTACGGCAACTTGGGTTGTACAGCAGCCACAGGGAAAAGGGAGCAGCCGAAGCCCTGGCTCACAGGGAAGCTCAGCAGCATGTGACCCTTTATTAGTGGCTTACAGAGCACACGGATGAGGGAGTCCCACATACAGCCTGAAACTACACGTCCTGCTTGCATCTAACCACTCGCTATTAAAATCTGTGTTCTTCTTGACTGTGTGAGTCTCAGCAGCACTGTGGCCACATCCTCGTGTGTGTTTGCTCCTCACAGGTGGCTCCTGGTTCTGGGCAGGCCCTGCCACTGTCCCCACCTGGAGCAAGGAGTGCCTGAGGAAGCTCCTGGGCTCCTCACTGAGGGGCCCAGCCCATGGGCTCAGCTGGAGGGCTGCTGCTTCTTGGGGCTGCCAGGATCATGGCAGCTCCTGTCCCTGCCGTGGTGGGGAGGAGGGTGCCAGCACTGCCAGAGCCTGCTGCTTTCTGCCTGGCAAAGGGGTGAATAGCAGAACTGGATGGGAGGGCATCACATCTTGGGCCCTGGGCCTGGATGGGCTAAATCAGTGTGCAAGGTCCTTGGGACTTTCTACCTCTGGTACAAACAGGAATCTTTATTTTCTGCTCTCTGGCTTAGGCATTAACTAAAAATGTGCTAACAGCTTTAAACTCTGCTCTGCAAACCATATCATGCCTTGTGACACACTTTCTGGCCTGCCCAGGCTGGCGGAGCGGGGCTGATTCCTGCAGTCCTCTGCTGCTTTGGCACAGAGCGTCCTCATGCTGCTCCCAGCAGGTTCCCAGCCCCTGTGCTATCCTTGCAGATAGCCTCCTTTTGCTCTCCTTACCCTTTTGAAGTAGCAGCTTTGTTCTTAGCAGATGAAAAGCACGAAAGTAGCCAGTGGAGAGAGACGTGGTTGTAGTGCAGCTCTGCGAGCCTCTCTGGAGGGCTCTCGGGCACCCAGGTTTTCAGAGCAGGGCCCTGTGAGGCTGCTTTCCCTGTGGGACTTGTGGAGCAGGCCTGGTACTGCTGCCTAGGGGAGTGGGCTGCTCTCTGCATGGGCACTGAGCTGGGAAACCAGACCAGGGCCCCCAGGGATGACTGGTGCCTGCTGAGAAAGAGGGAGCTGTGATCCAGCGTTGCATTCTGCCCATCTGCACCTCGAGCCCTACAAAAAAAGCATTGCTATGACCTAAAAGCCATAAGTAAACACTGAACTGGAGTCCTGAGGCGTCTGTGGTCTGCAGCTTTATTTCTTGTCTGTGAAAGCAAGTTACTGTATGAAAGTGAAATCCTGCAGGCCAGTGACCTTTGCAGCGCTTGATGAGATCCTGTGGTCCTTCAGGTCTTAGGGACCAGTGCACCCTGCAGAGCCTGTCCTTGTCACCGTGCCGAGGGGATGACACCGGCTGCCCCGCTCCCACCAGGCTGTTCCTTCCCCAGTTGTTACCTTTCAGGTTTTTTCTTCTCGAGCCTTTTAATCAACTGTTATTGTTGGTATAATCTGTCCTGATGCTGTACTTCTAAAAGCGCCTTCTTCTCTTCTTCGGCAGGTCTCCGAAGCTGGGAAGGAGTCCTTGCCTTCGTGGTTACACTGGAACGCAGAGAGCAGCTCCCTGGAAGGGCTGCCCCTGGACACGGACAAGGGCGTCCACTACATCTCGGTGAGCACGCTGCAGCCCTTCCCCAACGGCAGCTACGTGCCGCAGGCCGCCAACGTCTTCTCCGTGGAGGTGCACCAGGAAGACCACAGCGAGCCGCAGTCGGTTCGAGCGGCAGCCCAGGATTTGGGCGACGCCACGCCGTTTGTGTGCGGTGCAGAGGAGCCGGTCACCATCCTGACCGTCATTCTGGATGCCGATTTGACAAAAATGACACCAAAGCAGAGGATCGAACTTTTAAACAGAATGAGAAGCTTCTCGGAGGTGGAGCTTCACAACATGAAGTTGGTTCCCGTTGTAAATAACAGACTCTTTGACATGTCGGCCTTCATGGCTGGGCCGGGAAATGCAAAGAAGGTGGTGGAAAACGGGGCCTTACTCTCGTGGAAACTGGGCTGTTCTTTGAGTCAAAACAGCGTCCCCAACATCAGCAAGGTCGAGGCCCCGGCGAAAGAAGGGACTATGTCTGCCCGCCTCGGCTACCCTGTAGTCGGCTGGCACATCGCTAACAAGAAACCTCACCTCCCAAAAAGGATGCGGCGGCAGATCAACGCCACCCCCACGCCGCTGACCGCCGTCGGACCTCCCACCACCGCCGCTCAAGAGCCGCCGACGAGGATTGTCCCCACGCCAACATCGCCCGCCATCGCTCCCCCCACGGAGACAACGGCCCCGCCGGTCAGGGAGCCCATCCCGCTGCCGAGGAAGCCTACGGTCACCATCAGGACGAGGGGCCCCATCGTGCAGACACCCACGCTCGGGCCGATCCAGCCGACCAGGCTGGCGGAAGGCACCGGGACGGTCTCCGTGCCCATTCGCCCCACGATGCCCGGCTACGTGGAGCCCACCGCCGTGATCACGCCGCCCACCACCACCACCAAGAAGCCCAGAGTCTCCACTCTGAAGCCCGCCACGCCGTCCACGACGGATTCCTCCACGGCGACAACACGCAGACCTACCCGGAGGCCCAAAACGCCCCGTCCCACCAAGCCTCCCAGCACCACCCGCTCCCCGATCTCCAAGCTGACCACCGCCTCCCCTCCCACCCGCGTCCGCACCACCGCCAGCGGCATCCCCCGGCCCTGGGAGCCCAACGAGCCGCCCAAGCTGACCAACCACATCGACAGGGTAGACGCGTGGGAGGGGACTTACTTTGAGGTGAAAATACCCTCAGACACTTTCTACGATAAGGAAGATACCACCACGGACAAGCTGCAGCTGACCTTGAAGCTGAAGGAGCAGCAAATGATTGAGGAGAATTCGTGGGTCCAGTTCAACAGCACCAGCCAGCTCATGTACGGCATGCCGGACCGCAGCCACGTGGGGAAGCACGAGTACTTCATGTATGCCACCGACAAAGGGGGGCTGTTTGCCGTGGACGCTTTTGAGATCCACGTCCACAAACGCCCGCATGGGGACAAATCCCCAGTGAAGTTCAAGGCCAGGCTGGAAGGGGACCACAGCGCGGTGGCAAATGACATCCACAAGAAGATCATGCTGGTGAAGAAGCTGGCCCTGGCGTTCGGCGATAGGAACAGCAGCACCATCACGGTGCAGGACATCGCCAAGGGCTCCATCGTGGTGGAATGGACCAACAACACGCTGCCTCTGGAGCCCTGCCCCCGCGAGCAGATCCGGACTTTGAGCAGAAAGATTGCGGATGACTCGGGGGGGCCGAGCCCGGCTTTCTCCAACATCTTGCAGCCGGAGTTCAAACCTCTGAACGTGTCGGTGGTGGGCTCCGGCAGCTGCAGGCACATCCAGTTTGTCCCCGTGATGAAGGACGGCAGGGTGATCTCGGAGGCAACGCCGACGGTGGTGGCTGGGAAGGACCCCGAGAAGAGCAGCGAAGACGACGTGTACCTGCACACCGTCATCCCCGCCGTGGTGGTGGCCGCCATCCTGCTGGTGGCCGGCATCATCGCCATGATCTGCTACCGCAAGAAGAGGAAAGGCAAGCTGACCATCGAAGACCAGGCCACGTTCATTAAGAAGGGCGTGCCCATCATCTTCGCCGACGAGCTGGACGACTCCAAGCCCCCGCCGTCCTCCAGCATGCCCCTCATCCTGCAGGAGGAGAAAGCCCCGCTGCCCCCCCCAGAGTACCCCAACCAGAGCATGCCCGAGACCACGCCGCTCAACCAGGACACCGTCGGGGAGTACACGCCGCTGCGGGACGAGGACCCCAACGCGCCGCCCTACCAGCCGCCCCCCCCCCTTCACGGCTCCCATGGAGGGGAAGGGCTCCCGCCCGAAGAACATGACCCCCTACCGCTCCCCTCCGCCCTACGTCCCCCCTTAACGAACGGGACGCTCGGGGGGAGACGGGGCCTCCGGTCCCACACCGCTGCCGCCTGCGGGCCGGCCGCCCCCTTGCCGGCCGGGAAGCCGCCATCCCAGCCTGCTCCCCAGCAGGCCGCCCTGCGGCTGTGCCCACCGTGCCGGAGCGCCCGCGGAACCCGGGGGGACACTTGTTTTATTTTTGCCTAACAAGCTTTGGTTTTATTTTATTCATAGAAAAATTCTCGGCTCGAAACCGCCTTTCTGGCGGCGGGCTTCCGGGCACGGCTGGGGCCGGCGCGGAGGGCAGGGAGGGGGGGACGAGCAGGCAGCACTGGGGTGGCACTCTGGGTCTCCGCTGTTTGCCTTTAACACTAACTGTACTGTTTTTTTCTATTCACGTGTGTCTAGCTACAGGACGTAACATGAAAGGTAGCCTAAAAAAAATAATTAAATTCAAGGGACTTTCTGAAGTCGATGTTTTAAGTTTTTACATTTAATCTGCTGTTTACCTAAACTCATGTATAGTTCTGGGGGCGTGGGGGGGAAGCGCTACGCTGCAGATAAGCTCCAGGGGTGTCGTAGGCTTAGGTAGAGGGGTGGCCATAGAGGACAGTCGGCCCTGGTGCTGGGGGCAGCGGGCTCTGGCTTTGTTTCCTTGGTTTTATTTTTTAATCGAAGCAATCCTGTTTCTCTCACGCATCACAACACAGCGCAGGTCAGCCTGGTGCGAGGGCACTGCAGGGAGGTGAGCCAGGCCCCGCGTGTGCCCGCATCGCCCCGTGTGCGCAGCAAAGCCCTGGCCGTGGGGTGCTGGGGAGCTGGGAGATGTTCTGCAGCACAGTGCCTCCAAGGCCGGGGCTTCATGGGGGGCGATGCTGGGTGGGCCGCATGGCTGTGTGCACAGGGCTGGGGGCTGGCTGCTGGGAAAGGTGGGGGGGGGGAGGGGGGGCAAAAAAAGAGGATAAAAAGAAAAAAAAAAAAAAGGGTAAAAAAAGGAAAAAAATAAAAAAAAAAGCGCCAGGAATAGCGAATAGTCGGAACAATCGGTGAAGTCTCAAATCTAATTTTTTTACTAAATTTTTGATACAGCCTCAAATTGTTTTATTAAAAAAGCAAAAGCATTAAAGATGGGTAACGCTGACAGCACTCTGTTGGGCTCCGCTTCTTGGGGCGGGATCCCGCCGGACCCTCCGCGCTCCGTTCCCTGCCCTGCGGCTCCGCCCCGCCGGGTCCCTCCGCGTTCTCCGCTTCTCCGCCCCGCGACGGGCGGCGCGGCACCGCCCGCCTTATGGCGCCCCCTGTCGGCCGCGCCGCCCCACGTCCCGCGCCCCGCCCAGCGCGGCGCCGCCATGTCGGGAGCGCCGGGCCCGGGGCGAACCCCGCTGCCCTGCACCGCCCGCGCCGCCGCCCACCTGCAGCTGCCCGGGGGAGCCGAGGCGGCGCGGCCCGGCGTGGCCGTCATTGACGTGCGCTTTCCCCGCGGCGGCGCGGCTGACGTGAGTGCGGGCCGGGGACGGGCGCTGCGGGTGCCGGCGGCGTAGCGGCGGGGTACCGGTCGGGTACCGGTGGGATGCCGGTGGGATGCAGTGACAGCGCCGCCCCTTCAGGTGCACGAGATCGTCTTCAAGAACTTCTACACCGCCTTCCTGAGCGTGCGGGCGCAGCGGGCCGGGCCGCCGGGACCCCGCAAGTGGCTCACCTGCCTCCGCGACCTGCGGCTGATGCCGTGCCCGCACACGGAGCTGGGCGCGCAGGAATACTTCTCTCTCCGCCGCTCCCAGGTCCGCCCCGGGCACGCGGCCGCCCCCGGCCGCCCCCCACCCGCCTGACGCCCGCTGTCCCCCCGCAGATGCTGTGCGACATGGAGCAGGTGACGGCGCTGCGCTTCATCCTGCGGCAGCCCTCCCCGGCGTGGCTGCACTTCGGAATCGAGGAGCTGCAGCTCTTCCCTCCTGGCAGCAAGGTGACCCCGGGGAGCCCCGAGCGTGGGGACCGCCCTGGGGTGCTCGAGGGGAAAGGGGGGCGTGGGGCCCGGGGTCCCCGGCGTGCTGCTCCCTGGGCGCTGCGGAGTGATGCTCGTAATGCCTGTAGCGACATGGAGGATTGGTGGGGTCCAAACTGAGGGGCGAGGGTTGAGGGCGGGATAGAGGCCCCCGTGTGACCCTTTGGCTCCACCGCAGACCTCCCCGCAGGACGTCCCCTCCTGGTTGTCCCAGCTGAGCCCTCCGGAGCGACCCCTCAGCCTGCATGGGGTGAGTGGGGCTGTCCCGTGCCGTGGGTGGGGCTGCCGGTGGGTGCCACCCTGTCCCGGGGTGCACGGGTTGGTCCTTCCCATCCATCACATGGCCCACATTGTCCATCTGCAAAGCGCACAGCTGGTGGCTGCTCCAGTGCTGCCGGGCCTTCTGACCCCAACAGATCGTGGCTTGAGCACTCCATTCCCAGTGGATGTACCGAATCACGGTACCCAACCCCTGGGCGCTTCCAGCCCCCTCCTGGCCCTGCTGGCACCAGGGATCATTCCAGAGCCCCAAAACCACTGCCCGGTGCTGGAAGCAGTTTGCAGTTCAGAAGAAAAATACCCACTGAGACGTGCAGCTCGAGGTGGCATTTAAATCAGCTCTTCCTCTGCCTGGGGACTGGGGAGGCCTCGTGAGCAGAGGCGGGTGGCAGAGGGAGGCTGACTGGCTGACTGGCAGGGCTGGGCCACGAGGTGACCATGGAGACCATCACAGCCTGCGAGCACCAGTGTTGGGCCTGCTAGGTGGCTCTGGGTGAGCAGAGTCCAAGGAGAGTTGGGGCAGACGCCCATGTCCCCGCGGGTTGTCACCATGTGTCCCCACGTCACGCTGGGGTGGGAGGGAGAGGACGTGGGGAGCATCGCAGTGCTGTGCTGGGAAAAGAGGACTGAGTTTGAGCGTCGTGGTTGCTGAACCTTGGTGGTGTAATTAGGTCTTTAATCATTAGCTAATTGCTGCTCTGGACGCCCGCCAGCGGGGCCGTGCCACCCTCAGGGTCACTGTTTCCCAGCCGCCCATCAGGGCTGCTCGGCGGGCGCTATGGCCGTGGCACGGTGCTGCCGTGCGGCCTGCACGAGGGCTGCCCCGGCCCTCCCGGCCCTTCCTGCACCGCTCCCGCTGCCTTCCAGGAGCTGCCCGACCCAGAGAAGGTGGCGGCGGAGGTGCAGCAGATGTGGGCGCTGACGGAGGTGGTCCGCGCTCGGCAGGCGGCCGCGCGCATCGGACGCTTCGACGTGAGTGCGGTGCTCACCCGCAGCACCGGCGGCCGCGGGCCCGGGGGGGGGGGGGCCGTGTACCGCGCTCCCTCAGCGTTGCAGGGACCCAGCGTGCCGCGTTCCTTCCGCAGGTAGACGGCTGCTACGACGTCAACCTGCTGTCCTACAGCTGAGCCCCGCTGGCTGCTCCCGGGACCGGCGTGGATGCTGCAACCGGTGGACTCCGACCCGGCCTTTGCCCCACGGCCCCTCCCGCAGCTCCGTCTCCACCACCCGCGGGCTCGGTTGGGGCCCGGCCCCCACGCGTTCCGCGGCCGTGCCTCCGGATAAAGGCTACTACCGCGCTGCCGCCTCCGCTCGTCTGTGCGGGGCCGGGGGCGGGGCGGGGGCGGGGGCGGGGCGGGGGCGGGGCGGGAAGGCGGCATGTCCCAGGCGCCCCGGCGGGGCGGGCCGAGCCGTACCGAGCCGCGCTGCGCTGAGCCGGGCCGGGGCCGGAGGATGCTGCGGGCGGGGTGCGGCGCCGCGCTGGCCCGTCGCCACCTGGGCTCGGCGCCGGTGAGTGGGGCCGAGGGGAGAGGGGAGAGCCAGCCGTGCTGAGCTAAGCCGGGCCGGGCCGTGCCGCGCAGGAGGGGCTGAAGCGGACGCCGCTGGACGCGCTGCACCGGGCCCGCGGCGGGAGGATGGTGCCGTTCGCCGGCTGGAGCCTGCCCGTGCAATACGGCCGCGGGCACCTCGAGTCGCATCTGCACACCCGGCGGCACTGCTCGCTGTTCGACGTGTCCCACATGCTGCAGGTAGCGGGAGGGGGGCCGGGGGCCGCAGGAGGGGTCCCGCTGCACCGCCTCACTCCCGGCCTCTTCCAGACGCGGGTGTACGGGCGGGACCGCGTCCGCTTCCTGGAGAGCCTGGTGGTGGGCGACATCGCCGAGCTGCGCCCGGGACAGGTATGGGGGGCAGCGGGTGGCAACTGGGCAACGGGCGCCCAGCATACGGCCCTGTGGGGGACGGATGCCCCGGCACAGGGTCCCCCCCGTCCCAGCACCCACCCCACAGGGCACCCTGACACTGCTCACCAACGAGCATGGTGGCATCGTGGATGACCTCATCGTCACCAACACGGTGGAGGACCACCTCTACGTGGTGTCCAACGCGGGCTGTGCTGACAAGGACCGGGCTGTCATGGAGGTACGGGCAGGGCTGGGGCAGGGCAGGGCCCCCCAACGTGTCCCCACACTGCGGCCCCATCCCTGCAGGGCAGAGCGGCAGAACTGAGGGCGGCCGGCGGCGACGTGCACCTGGAGGTGTTGGACAACGCACTGCTGGCACTGCAAGGTAGTGGGTCCCCATGCTGGTGGCACTGGGTCTCATCCCACCGGGCCCGGTGCACAGTCTTGCACCACCCATCTCGGTGCTGCCATCCCCAAGGCTGATGCCTGTCTCCTCCAGGGCCCTCCATGGCACAGGTGCTCCAGGCCGGGCTGCCAGATGACCTGACCAAGCTGACCTTCATGACCAGCACAGCCACCACCGTCTTTGGCGTGCCGGGCTGCCGTGTGACACGCTGTGGCTACACCGGCGAGGACGGTGTGGAGGTAGGGGGCACTGTGGGGCACCATGGGGCAGCCGCTCCCTGCAGGGCGCTGTGCCCCCTGACCACCCCATCCTGCACAGATCTCAGTGCCTGCAGGACGAGCCGTGGAGCTGGCTGAACAGCTGCTGGGCTGCCCCGAGGTGTGGCCAGCAGGGCTGGCAGCCCGGGACAGCCTGCGCCTGGAGGCCGGGCTCTGCCTCTACGGCAGCGACATCGATGAGAGCACCACGCCAGTGGAGGCCGGGCTGCTGTGGACCCTGGGTAGGTGCAGGCCGTGTCCAATTGCCAGGCCTGAAATGCAGGTCCCGGCTGCCAGGCCTGAAGCACAGACCTCCCGGTGTCAGACCCAAAACGCAGCCCTTCAGTGCCAGGCCCAAAGCACAGGCCTCAGCCCTCTGTGCCCATAGGGAAGCGCCGGCGCGCAGCCAAGGACTTCCCCGGTGCAGCCATCATCATGGAGCAGGTGAAGGAGAAGCCAAAGCGGAAGCGCGTGGGGCTGACATCTGTGGGTCCCCCCCTCCGTCCACCTGCCGCCATCCTGGGCCCCGAGGGCACGCCTGTGGGCACGGTGACCAGCGGCTGCCCCTCGCCCTCCCTGGGCAAGAACATCGCCATGGGCTACGTGCAGGCTGCGCACAGCCGCCCCGGCACCACGCTCACCGTTGAGGTGAGGAAGAAGCAGCACCCGGCGCTGGTCACCAAGATGCCCTTCGTGCCCACACACTATTACATGGCCAAGTGAGACCTGCCCCCATTAAAGCCCCTCGCCCATCTCCCGCCTCGTATCTGGCGCTGGGGCAGCACAGGGCGGTGGGGGGTGCAGTCATTTAATGGCGCGGTGCTGGCGGTGGGCGCTCCTCATTCGCGGTGCGTCTTTCCCGGCTCAGCTGCCGTGCCGTCCCTGTGGAGATGGGGGCATCAGTGGGGGGACAGGGAGAGGGCGGTGGGTGCACCCGGCTGGGGGGCGCAGAGCGGGGCACACGGAGATGGGGACAGGAGTGGAGGATGCAGCCAGAGGGAGGGCACAGTGATGGACTGAACTGGGGGATATACTGCAGCAGAGTGGGCAGTGGGGCACAGAGTGGGGGGGAAGTAGGGGAGTGTGGGGGTGGCGGGATGCCCTGGGCTGTGGGCACATAGGGGGGCACATCAGGGTGGGGACTTACACTGAGGGCACATCCCGAGGGGGCAGCGGGCCGGGGCACAGCAGGGAGGCACACAGTGGGTGAGCACACACAAGGACACAGCGATGCGTGACGACCCAGCGGGGATGCGCTGGGGCGGCGGCAGGGGGAGGGCAGGCGGCTCCGGGGACACAGCAGGAGCTGCGTGCTGGGGCTCGTTGGTTTGGAGATGCGGGACGAGGACAGGCATCGGGAGGTAGTGGGACAGCGGCAAGGGGGGGGCAAGCAGCGGGATACACAGCTGTGGGGACCCGGGGCGGGGGGAGGCGTTCGCTGGGACGCGCCGGGACGGGACGCGCGGTGCCGGGCGGACTCACCGGGGCGGGCAGTGCCGCTCGGCGGCGCCGTCGCGTCGGGCGGGGGACAGCGAATGCGCGCGGGGCCGTGCGGGCGCCGGGCCGCCGTCGGTGCCCGGGGCGGAGGGGCGGCGGGCGGCCGGGCGGTAGCAGAGCGCGGCCACCTCCTCGCCGTAGGCGCGCCACGCCAGGCGGGTGGCCATCAGACTGAGCCCCAGCCACAGCAGCAGCAGCTGGCACAGCGCGGCACGCACGTCCTGCGTCGCCCACTCGGCCGCCAGCTCCCGGCCCAGCGCGCCCAGCGCCTCCCAGACCGCCGCCATTGCCGCCGCCGCCGTCGCCGTTACCGGACGGGGCGGGGCGCGGCGCGGCGGGGCGGGGCGGCGGCATGGCGGGTGCGCGCTACTCCCGGCAGCTGTGCGTGCGGGGCCGGGGGCGGCGGGGTCCGGCCGCTCGCTTTCCTGTCGCTGAGCGCCCGCCGTGCCCCGCAGGTTGGTGCTGGGAGACGGCGGGCGGCGGCTGCGGGAAGCCGCGGTGCTGGTGGGGGGGCTGCGCGGGGTCGGAGCGCAGGCGGCGGCGGCGCTGGTGCTGGCCGGGGCGCGGAGGGTCGTCCTGCACGAGAGCGGCGTGGCACGGGGCGGGGTGCAGGTACGGTGTGCGGGGTCACGGCGATGGTACGGGTGCTGCTGGGGGCTCGGTGTGGGTGCCGTCCCTTTAAATGGGTCCGGGGGGTTGGGAGAACGCGTATGGGTACAGGGAGGCATCCCGGTGCGTGGATGGGTCTCAATAAGGGATGCGAGTTGCTCGGTAATGGTTATAGGTGTGGATCCTGCTGATGGCGTGCGGGTGGGGGTGCTGGTGGGGCGCGGGTATGGGCGAAGGTTCCGGGAATGAACACGGGTACAGGCTGGGTGCTGATAATGAGTGCGAGTACGGGCAGGGATCCCATTAATGGGTGTGGATGTGGGCAGGGTCCCAGTAAGGGGTACGGGGATGGGTGGGGGTCTGCGGAGCGGACCTCGGCTGTGGGTGCGAGAAGATGTGGGGCTGGGGATTCCAGTAATGGCTATGGAGGAGCCATGGGGATGGGAACGGCTGGGAGATCTCTGTCCCAGTGGGGATTGGGGTGCCTGTGCTAGGAATGGAGTGTGGGCTCTCTGTTCCGGGTCTGGTCCCCATCAGTGCCGCTGCCCCACAGTTCCTCCAGGGGGAGTGCAGTGTGGAACAGAACCGTGCTGAGGCATCCCAGCGGCTGCTGGCCACACTGAACCCTGATGTGGAAGTGTCAGTGCACTCTGGGGAGCTATCGGAGGAGTTCCTCACTGCCTTCCAGGTGAGTCTGGCCCCCAGCCCAGGGGTGCCATGGGGCTCCAGTGCCCACTGACAGCCCTGTGCAGGTGGTGGTGCTGACCGAGTGCCCACTGGAGGAGCAGCTCCGCGTTGGGGACATCTGCCATGCCAAGGGTGTCTGCTTCATCGTGGCCGATGCCAAAGGGCTGGCGGGGTAAGGACTTAGCACTGCATGGCACCAGGTGGCTGCCCCTTCTTACCCTCCCCTGTCCCTCTGTGCCCCCATAAGCCTGGTGGATGGGACCTGCCCACTCTCAGAGCTGCACTGTCCCTGCCCAGGCAGCTCTTCTGTGACTTTGGGGAGCACTTTGTTGTCCATGACCCGGGGGAAGGGGACCCGCTCTGTGCCACTGTGCAGCACATCTCCCAGGTTGGAAGCTCTGTGGTTGTCCCTGCACCCCAGCATGGCAGCTTTTGAGCTCCATGTCTCTGACCCAAAATGCTGCCTGGATTGAAGCTGCATGCTCACATCTCCTCTGCTCAGGGCAACCCGGGGATCGTGACATGCGCAGGGGCAGACAAGAACTATGGCCACCGCTTCAGTGATGGTGATCTGGTGATGTTTTCTGGTGTGGAGGGCATGGTGGAGCTGAACAGCAGCGAGCCCTGCCCTGTACGCGTGCTGGGTGAGTGCCCACCCCGGGGTCTGCGGGGGTCCCTGGTGGTGACTGTGACACCCATCCTCCCCTGCTCCCCAGATGGCTTCAGGTTGGAGATTGGTGACACAAGCACCTTCTCGCCATACTGCGGTGGGGGCCGGGTTTCGGAGGTGCGGCCACGCCAGGAGCACTCGTATGTACGTGCCCTCATGCCACGGCAGTGCCACTCCCAGCAGCAGCCCCGTGCCCCCACCGTGTCCCCACTGTCCCCATGCTGTGTCAGCAGGAGCCCCTCCGCCAGGCGCTGGCGATGCCCAGGATCCAGGCCAGGAGCTCCACGGAGCTGCTGCGCAGCCGCAGTCTGCACGCTGCCTTCCAGGCCCTGCACGCCTTCTGCCAAGAGCGGGGCCGCCTGCCTCAGCCCCGGGCATCTGTGAGTTTCCTCCCAGCCCCCCCGGCCCGTGCCCCCTACAGCACTGCCATTGCCCCTCTACCCACAGGAGGATGCTGAGCATGTGCTGGAGCTGGCACGTGAGCTGGGCTCGGCGCTGGGCCCCCTGGATGAGGATGTTGTGCGAGCGTTTGCCAGCGTCAGCGCTGGGGAGCTGTGCCCGGTGGCATCCTTCATTGGTGCGCTGGCTGCCCAGGAGGCCATGAAGGTGAGCAGCCGTGCGGCGAGCTCTGCTGTCTCCAAGCGCTCGGTGGCCACGAGAGGGCACCTGCTGCCTTCCTGGGGACACCGGGTGCTCAGAGCAGGGCGCTGGGCGGGGTGATGTGGTGCCAATGCTGGGCACGGGCACTTCTTTCGCCCCAGGCAATCACGGGGAAGTTCCTGCCCCTGGATCAGTGGTTTTACTTTGATGCCCTGGAGTGCCTGGCCGTGGAGGGGGCTGCGAGGCTGATGCCGGAGGACTGCGCCCCGGTGAGTGGCAGCTGCCGCTGGGTGCCGCGATGCCGTGCCCACCCCCACTGACAGCGATCCCTCTCCCGGCAGAGGGGATCCCGCTACGATGGACAGATTGCCGTGTTCGGGGCTGACTTCCAGGAGGAGCTGGGCCGCCAGAAGTACTTTGTGGTGAGCGGGGTGCGGGCAGTGGCGTGACACCGCCGGGGCGTTGGGGTGCAGTGGCTGTGCCTCGCAGGTGGGAGCCGGCGCCATCGGCTGCGAGCTGCTGAAGAACTTTGCCATGATGGGGCTGGCAGCGGGGCCAGGTGGGGACATCACTGTCACCGACATGGACACAGTCGCACACTCCAACCTGCACCGGCAGCTTCTCTTCCGTGACACTGATGTGGGGGTGAGCTCCCCTCAGGGGGGACCTGGGCGGTGCGGGGATGTGAGACAGGAGGGAGCCATCCCCACTCTGTGCCCTGCAGAAGCCGAAGGCGCAGGTGGCTGCAGCCGCTGTACGGCTCATGAACCCGGACATCAAGGTGACGGCCCACCAGGTCCAGCTGGGCCCCGGCACCGAGAAGCTCTTTGGGAACACTTTCTTCCAGCGGCTGGATGGTGTTGTCAGTGCCCTGGACACGCTGACAGCCCGTGAGTGCTTAGGTGGGGCAGGGATGAGCCCTGTCTCCATGCTACCAGGATGGATGCATCCCCTCTTCTCCCCACAGGCGCCTACCTGGAGAGCTGCTGCATCCGCTCCCGCACGGCGCTGCTGGACACGGGCACAGAGGGGGCAAAAGGCAATGTGCTGGCCATGGTGCCCCCCCTGAGCCAGCCGCTGGAGCCAAGCAGCGACCCCACAGATAGGAGCTTCCCACTGTGCACACTGCGCTTCTTCCCCTCTGCCATCGAGCATACGCTGCTGGTACGGATGTGGATCCTTGCACCTGGCCCTTTGGTGTCCCATCCCATCCCGCCAGCAGGATGTGGCCCCAGCCGCTTCCTGCCAGGGTATCACCATCATGGTGAATGGGGAGGGGTCGCAGTGTGGGAACCCAGCACTCAGCCCTGTCCCCTCAATGCAGTGGGCTCGTGATGAGTTCGAGGGGCTCTTCCAGCTGCCTGCAGAGAGCGTGAACCGCTTCCTGGGGTGAGTACAGACTCCCTGCCCTGAGGCCAAGGTCAAGGGACAGACGGCCACGTCCTGCACGTGGTGTCACTGCGGGCATGCTGGTAGTGCCTAGCTTTGCAGGGAGCTGCCCGATGAGCCGGTGCGATGGGAGGGCCTGGTGGTGCCCAAGCAGGTGCAGAGGAGCCTGCAGGAGCGGCCGCGGGACTGGGGGGACTGCGTGCGCTGGGCCTGCCAGCACTGGCAGCTCTGCTATCACGACAGCATCAAACAGCTGCTGCACGACGTGCCGCCCTCACACGTGAGCATGGGTCCCCCTTGTGCCATTTGATGGAGAGGTGTCCGTGGCCCTGACTCCACTTTCCCTGTGGCAGGAAACCAGCCCCGGTGTGCCCTTCTGGTCTGGGGACAAGAGGTGTCCCCACCCACTGATATTTGACCCCAGCAATGTGAGTGCATGGATTATGGGGCCAGGGAGAACTGCTGGTGGGCACTGGGCGCAGCAGAGCTGCTCAGACAACCTGAATGAGCTCTGCAGCATGGAGGATGAGCGGCACCTCCATCCCCCCCTGTACTGCAGGACACCCACCTGGCATACGTGGAGGCTGCTGCCCAGCTCCTGGCTCACACCTACAGGCTGCCATCCTGTGGTGACCGAGTGGCCACGCGGGATGTCCTCTGCCACGTGGTGCTGCCACCCTTCGTGCCCAAGGACGGGTGCTACGTCCCCACAGCAGAGGGCATGGAGGAGGTGGAGGAGACTCTGGGTAAGGCTGCATGTCTGTATCCCCAAAACCCGATGAAGAGGCACGGGCCAGGAGGTGCAGTTGTGATAACGAGTTCCTGGCCTGTGCCCCTGCATCCCCAGAGCCTGGACAGATGCTGGATCTCGTGCAAGAGCTGGCACAGTGGAAACAGGAGCTAGGAGGGGGCACAGAGGCAATGGACCCCATCCACTATGACAAGGTACCGCAGCTGCAGGGCTTGGGGAGGTGGCACTGCTTCCCATGGAACGCCCTTGTCTCCACGTTCTTCCCTGCAGGACAGTGACCTCCACTTAAGCTTCATCACAGCTGCATCCAACCTGCGTGCAGAGAACTACGGCATCCCACCTGCGAGCCGGCTGACGGTGAGTGCCATCCCCGAGGGCCCCCCTCCCCACAGGGCAGCTGGTGACACCCCTCTTGTCCTCAGAGCCAGCGCATTGCTGGGCGCATTGTGCCCGCCATCATCACCACCACAGCGGCCGTGGCTGCCCTGGCGTGCCTGGAGGTTTACAAGCTGGTGTGGAGATGCCGGGACCTCCAATGCTACCGCAACAGCAACCTGTTCCTGTCTGTATGCCTGTTTTTCCGCATCCAGCCCCCGCCAGCCCCCACATACTGGGTAGGACCCTCTCCCTGGGGCGCTCCAGCAGCCCCACGCTGTGCCCCACGGCTAGTGTGTGCAGGGCTGCAGCAGCCACTCGCATCTGGCTGATGGGAAGCAGCTGCAGCAGCCGGCGAGCAGCTGGCACTGGGCCCAGGGCTGCCTGCAGCTGTGGGGGGAGCAGAGCTGGGGTCCCCCCCTTTCTGCCAGAGGGGGGAAAGCAAAGCCACATCGGGGCGGGGGGGGGCAGGCCCAGATTGGGACCGTCTGGGTGATAGAGGCCCCTTTGTCTGGGGGTTTATGGCGTGCGAGGCAGCCCTTCCTGCGCGGCAGGAAGCGCCGATTGGAACCAGATTGGCCCGGGGGGCCCAGGGCCGGGGGCAGGAAGAGGGGGAGGAAAAGGGCCTTCATCGCCTCCGTGCCGGCTGCAGCTCAGCTTCAGGCTGCCCAGCCACCCCACGACCCTCCTGCTTCTGTGCCCTGCCGCCCAGTCCTGTGCCGTAGCCTCGGGGTGGCCTGGATGCATTTGGCACCGTGCCGGGGCAAAGGATGTTGCTGTGGTGCTCCGTGCCCTTTGGTCCCCGTCTGTGCCCAGCATCCTGCTCTGGGGCTCTCAGTGCTGCTCCGTGACACTTCATGCTGGGATGTGGCAGGAACGCTGTCCTATGGCTCAGTGCCCGGTGCTACCCTGGGGTCCTGAGAGCCCACCAAGGCTGTGGCCAGGGCCTGGGGGCCATGGTGTGCGTGTGGCTGTGGTGGTACGGATGGGGTTAAGGCCTCTCCCGGCACAGGCAACAGAAGGCAGGACGCGAGGGCGGCCCGTTGCCAGCATCCGCGGGACACGGCTGGGGCCAGAGCAGCGCTGCCTGCAGCGGGGGCAGATGGTGGACAGCCATGCCAAGTGCTGGGGTCGCATCCTGCATTCGGGCCGCAGCCAGGGTCACAAAACCCCCGGGGGCCACAGGCGCAAGAAGAGGCGATTGTGTGGGGCTGGGCTGCTTGTCAATGGGGCTTTGTGCGTGGTTGGGGCCAGCGGTGCCGGGGGATGGCTGTGTCCCATTCCCATCTCCCTGTCCCTGAACTCCCTCTCCTCAAACAGCCCTGGTCCATTCTCCCTGCTCTCCTTGCAGTACCGGGGAAAGGAGTGGAGCTGCTGGGACCGGCTGGAGGTGCGTGCTATTGGGGAGGACGGGCAGGCGATGACGGTGCGGGAGCTGCTGGCTCGGCTGCAGGAGGAGCACGGGTGGACCGTTACCAAGCTCCTGCGTGGCAGCACCATGCTGTACGATGGAGAGGAGGATGAGGAGATGCGGGCACAGCAGCAGGCACAGAGGTAGGCAGCCGGCTCTGGCCGTGCCCTAGTGCTGCAGGGCCCCCATCTCTCCTGCTCTGCTCCAACTGCAGAGTAAACATCCTGCCGCCGGCAGCGCTTCCTCTGCCGGACCCCCGCCGGCCCCCCACCATAGGGGCTGGGGAGCGGGCCTGGGCTCCGGCCCCGTGTGGCTTTCCCAGCCTGAGGGGCCCAGCACACCGTTCCTTTCCTGGCTGCAGGCTGTCAGATGGTGTGGAGCGCTCCGCGGAGCCGCAGCAGCTGGAGCTGCAGTACGTGTGTGCCGGGGATGAGCTGGAGGACGTCTGCCCCCCACTTCTCTGCACCCTGCCCTGAGCCCGCGGGGTCCCCAGATGTCACCGCCTGCCCCTCGCAATAAAAGCTGCAGGATAAGCTGTGACACGTGCTCACTGCGTCGCACCTCTGCCGGCGCTGCGCCCCACAAAGGCTGCCGTGCGTCCGTTTCGTACAAAACGGGGGTTTATTTACAGCGGGGAGGGGGTGGCGGGGCTAGATGTAGCCGATGACGTCGTTGCAGATGATGGGCTGGCGGCTGCGGCTGTTCATGAGGGCGGTGAAGCGGTGGAAGTCCGTGGCCAGCTGGGCGATGTTGCTGTGGGACTGGTGGAAGCAGGCTCCCTTGGGCTGCCCGCCCAGCCCCAGCGGGCACGACAGGCGCTTGGCGGGGTCGCGGCCCCCCGGCCGGGCTCCCTCTGCGGCGCGGGGCCGGGCCATGCTGGCCAGCTTGCGGCGCACGTTGCCCGAGAGGCTGAGCAGGAAGGCGGGCGGTTTGCCCAAGCGGCGCGAGGACTCGGCGGGCGGTCGACGGCGGGGCTCGGCGCCCACCTCGGGCAGGTCCATCCAGTTCTCCACCAGGTCGGCGAAGCAGTTGTCCCCCAGCACCAGAGGCTGCCGGTTGCGGCTCTGCGACAGCAGCGACACCGTCCAGTCCCTCCCGTCGGCCGGCTCGAGCGCCCGCCACTGCTCCAGGCAGGCGTCCGACGTGGATTTGGGGCGGGCGCGGCGGGCGGGGGCGGGCGCGGGGGTGCCGGCGGAGAGGCGGTGTGCGCGCTGGCAGGGCGGGGGGTGCCGCCGCAGCACCGGCGCTTCGTCCTCGCGCCACGTGCCCCCCGACGCCTCCGAGTAGCCCGAGTCGCACTCCAGGCTGCGCACGCTGGCGGGGGGCGAGCGGGCGGCCGGGCCCCCCTGCTCCTCCTCGCCGCAGGCCGAGGCGGGGCGGCGGGGCGCGGGGAGGGGGTCGCGTTCGGCCGGCCGCGTGCCGGGCATGTGCTCCCGGCGGCAGCGCTGCGGGGAGAGGGCGGCTCAGCGTCGGGCCGGCGGCGGGCGCAGGTCTCGGCTCGCCCGCGGCCCCGGGCTCCGCTTTCCCGCAGCCCCGGCCGGCGTGCGGCGGCATGTCAGAGAGCGCGCGGCGCCCAGCCCGGCCGTGCCTGCGGGAAGTGACACGGGGCCGAGGCACGTAGCAGCCCCGCGCCCCCGCCCCGGCCCCTCACTGCCACGGGGCGCCCCGATCGGTGGGACGGGACGGGGCGACGTCCCCAGGGAGGGCCTTCCGCTCGGGGACGCCGGGTGCCCGTCGGGCCCGCTCGCCCAGGGCTCGGCGCACCCCGACCGCGCGGGGCTGAGGAGCGGCGAGGGAACGGGGAGCGCTGCCGAGCGGCAGCGGAAGGAGAGCCCCGTCCCCGCGGCCGGGCCGCTCCTCTTTCTTGAATTCCTATTGTCTGAGCCCAAAAGCTGGCTGTTACGTCCGCTTCCCTCTCGCGGAAAGCCGAGCGCGCAGGGCGGCCCGCTCAGCGTCCTGTCCCACCGCCCGCAGCAGCGCCCCGTCCCTTCTCCCCTGTCCCCACGTCCCTCTCCCTTCTCCCTCTCCCCGGTCCCAGCTGGCGCCGCGCCACCGCCCCGCACCACCCTGTCCCGCGGGAGCCGTGGGGCGCTGGGAGGGCGCGGGGCGGGAGGGGCTCCGCGGTTCCCGGTGCCGCTCGGGTCGGGGCCGCGGCTGACAGCTCGCCGCTCGTTCCCCTCCGGCCTCGCGCCCCCCGCCCGCGCCCCGCGTCCCGCGCGCGGTGCTCCCACGCGTGATGTCACCGCGCTGATGTCACTCGCGGCCCCGCGCCCCGACACGCCGCGACCCGTCCGTCCTCCCGCACCCCGCGGCACTCACCGGCTCGACGCGGCGCTGCCCGAGGCCGCCGTCCAGACGGGCGCTGTGCATCCCCGGCCCGGCCCCGCTCCCGGTGCCGGTGCCGGAGCGGCCGCGGCCCCGCGGAGCAGCGGAGCGCGGCTCAGTCCCGGCCCTGCCCGCCGCCTCCCGCCGCGGCGCCGCCCCGCCTGCCGCAGCCAATGGGACCGCCGTAACGTGAGCTCGGGCCGTACCGGCACCGGCACCGCCCCGCCTCGCCCGCCGCCCCGGGGCCCCGCTCGGCGCGCCCGGACACGACCCGCGGGGCGAGGCGGCCCCGTTACGGGCGCCGGGCTCCGAGCGGGAGGGGAGCGGAGACCCTCCGCCCGCCCGCGCTCCGCCAGCGCCTGTTAATTGCCGGCTATTAGCCGCTCTAGTTTGCTAATGAAGGTTTACAATTAGCCGCCCGGTAATTCTGCCGGTTCCCGAGGCGCGGCGTGGATCGGCGGCCTCAGCAGGGCCGTGACCTGACCCCCTCTCACCCCGGGGCTGGGCTGGGAGCCGCGGTGACCGGCGTGACGCCGGGCATGGGTGGTGCCCGACTCCCGTGGCAACGCGCTCCGGCTTGTCCCAAACAGCTGCCAAGCCATGGGCACGTACGGACACCTCACCTTCCTCCTCCTCCTCCTCCATGCCCCAGGTAGGCACCCTGAGGAGTTCAACGGCACCCAAAGGAACTAAAAGAAGAGGGACGGGAAACGGGGTGCCCCGGGTGCCCCCGGCTACTCACCCCAGGATAGGCACAGGGGGTGGCAGCTTCAGAGTCTGGGACACATCTGGGGTATCTTGGGGACGTCTCCGAGGCACCCTTGGGGCACTGCAGGGACAGCCTGGCAGGCTGCAGTGACACTCTGCTCTTTGCAGGGACCTTTGTAAAGTCGGCAGGTAAGAGCGGCGGGGCCACCCATACCCCCATGGGGACAGGACCCAGTTCCCTGACACAGCTGTGCGAGCTGCTGGTGGCAGCGGCCACACGAGGCCAATCCTGGGGTGTCCCGCCAGCCTTGCCTGACCTGCCACGCATAGTGACACTGAGTGAGGACACTGCACCGGGCGCCCGCGTGGCCGAGGTGGCTGCGTCCTGCAGCAATGGCAGCAGCAGCCCCCAAGTCACGCTGCAGCGCGTCGAGTCCTCTGTCCCCGTGGGCTCCAGTGTCACCCCACGCAACGCAGATCCCAGCCACCCCTTCAACCCCGTTGCGATCAGTGCCGATGGTGTGCCCGCTTCCTCATTTAGGGTGGAGGTACGGCTGGGGGGCAGGGAGCAGGGCTGGAGCGCGTGGCACCCTGCTGAGCAGCGTGCCTCCACTGAGCACCGTGTCCCCACACAGGTGACGCTGCGTGCCGGCGCAGAGCTCGATGCCCACCGGGTGAACTGGTACGCGCTGGTGCTGCGCGCTGCCTGTCCTGGCGAGCAGGAGGTGACGGGGCAGCTGTTTGTGCGGGTGACATCGGGGCAGGCGCTGCGCTGTGGCTTCCCGTTTGCCAGCACTGGTGGGGACGTGGTGCAGGTGTCAGCAGGCGTGGCACCCCGTGCGCCCCTGTATGCGGTGCAGGCGCAGCCACCGGGTGGGCTGATGGTGAGTGCCAGCTGTGCCGTGTCCCACAGCCTCCCAAAGGGAGCAGACCCTGGGGACAGCCAGGCACAGGGATGGAATTCTCATCTCTCCTCTGACAGTTCCAGCTCAGAAATAGTGGCACACCACTCACGCTGACCCATCAGGGCCTGGTGCTGGCGCCTGATGATGGCTTCAGCCCCAGCAAGGACACCCAGGTGGGCACGAGTCCCCACTCTGACAGCACCGTCACCGCCTCTTTGGCACCACACACAGCCCTGTGTCCTGGTCCCCTCAGGCAGACCCCAGGCATGCTCAGCTCTCCTCTTGCTGTCCCTACCCCAGCTCTGTCCCCTTCTGTATCCCATCCCTGCCCCTATTTGCATTCCTGACTTCATCCTCATCCCTGTCCCTGTTCCCATCCCCATGCCAGTCCCCTCATCCTCATCCCTACTCTCATTCCTATTCCTAACCCAAGCCCTATTTGTGGCCTTCTCCATCCCCAGTCTTTGCCTCTATCCCTGTCCCTATCCTGCCCGTTTCCCTCCCCATTCCTATGCCTGTCTCCTCCTTCATTATTGACCCCACCCCATTTCCATCCTTGCCTCCATCCTATCCCTATCCTCCAACTCCATCGCTATCCCAGTCCTCATTCCTGTCCCCATCTCCATCCCTGATGGCAGTGTCACTCCTGGCTGTCTCACAGCCACCCCTGTGCTGCTCGCAGACGTTCAGGCTGGAGATAGAGGTGATGGATCGGCATGGGCAGAACTGCAGTGGGGTCGTGACGGTGGAAGTGCTGCCATCGCGCCATCCCCGTGTCACCATCCTGTGAGTGAGGCTGGGTGGGTGGGGGTGCTGGTAGCACCAGGCTGTGCCACACTGCCCGCTGTGCCTGCAGTGCTCCGCAGCAGGACGTGGTGGTGCCGGAGGGCATTGGTCCCTTGGTAGTGGTCACGCAGGTCCGTGCCAGCGGGGCCAACATCCGCTATGCCATCCTCGCTCCCACATCACCAGCGCTCTTCACCATCGATGAAAGTGAGCATGGTGGCAGGGTCCCCGTGGCTGCCCTGTCCCCAGCCCTGTGCTCGGCTCAAGGCTGTGCCACCTCCTGCAGTGACGGGTGAGATCCGCAGCACGCGTCGGCTGGAGGTGGCCGGTGCACAGCTCCTCATCCAGGCATACAACGCGCTGCAGCCCTCTGACCAGGACACCATCGTGCTCAATGTCACCGTGAGGGGGACAGACCAGCGGGCACCATCCTGTGTGCCAGCCCTCTATGTGTATGGTTCAAGGGTTTTGAGGGTGATGCTCCACAGTGCTTGGGAATTGGAGCTGAGCAGCAGCCACTCCCACACAGGTCCCAGGTGCGTGAGACCTTGTCCCCTGGCAGCACGCTGGTGACACTGAGGTGCGCTGACCCTGCTGGCGATGACGGGTCCCTGCATTACACGCTGGAGGGGCCACCAGGCTCTCGTTCCCTCTTCCACATGGAGGGGCCACAGCTGAAGGTGTGTGGGGCCAGAGCTGGTGAGCCCCCACTGGGGGAGCAGGGTCCTTCTGGCACCCAGTGGCATGGCAGGCTGTGGCTCTGGGGGATGCCCAGCACTACAGGACACCATGGCTTGGCAGGTCAACACCACTCTGGACTATGACACCGAGGCGATGGCTGCTATGGGCTTCCAGCTGACGGCCACCATTGTGGTGACAGCCGGGGGACAGCCTCTGAGGAGCAGTGAGTGCCCATATCCCCTGCACCCTGTGCCCATGTCCCCTTCGCCCTGGGGAAGGTCAAAGTAGAGATGTGCAAAGCTCCCTTTGACCCCCAAACCAACACACAGCGGAGGAAATGCTCCTCTCCTGTGGCCCCAGTGATGCCCAACCCCTAAGGCACCAGTGTGGCACCGTCCCAGTGTCCTTATGCAGCGTGCCCAGTGCAGTGTGTGCCATGGGATGGTGCCAGCACAGCTGAGCTGCTGTGTGCTGTGCAGCCCGCATACCCGTGCTGGTGACAGTGATACCCGTCAACGAATTCACACCGGAGTGCCCCAATGGCATCATCTTCGCCGTGTCAGAGACAGCACCTTTTGGCAGCATCGTGGGGCGCGTGGTTGGCACTGACCGTGACCGCCCACCGGACAGCCTCGAGTACAGCCTGGAGGGGGGCACTGGCCCTGCACAGCCCTTCTCCATCGATGCACGCACCGGTGAGTGCTCAGCCCTTCCCCTGCCCCACAGCACCCACGGGTACCAGAGAGCTCACACGACCCCACAGGTGAGATCCGTGTGGTGGGGCCCCTTGGCCCCCCGCGGCGCGCTGGCTACCGGCTGACGGTGCGGCTGACGGACACCCACAATGATCTGGACCCATTGAACCGGAGGAGCCGCCTGTGTGATGTGGCCGTGCGCCTGCAGGTGTGAGCGTGATGCCGGGGTGCCACCGGTGCAGGATGCTGTGCTGCATCCCTGTGGCTGTCCCAGGGGTGGCTCTGGGCTGGAGGTACCCACGGGGACCGGGTGGGATGGAGCTGAGCCACCTCTGCTCCCGGCAGGCCATGCCTCAACGGGCACCACTGTGCAACCCAGAGGTGCAGGAGCTGAGAATCACAGCTGGGACAGGCAGCCGGCAGCCTGTCACCCACCTGGTGTGCAGTGGGGACCCGGAGGGCACCACGCTGTCCTATGCCATTGTCGGAGGTAAGGAACAGCCAAGCACCGTGATTTGTCTCTTCAGCATGGCCGAGGTGCTGAGCAGACCCTCCTATGCAGGCAATGAGGATGGGCACTTTCGGCAGGAGGGGAGCATGCTATCCTACATCCCCTCCGGCCTGGCTGAGCCCCGCACATTTGTGCTGCTGGTGGAGGTGTGGGGCAGCAGTGGGTCCCCACGCCGCAGCACCGTGCTGGCACTGGTGGTGCACGTCACACCCCGCAGCACCCCAGTGCCACCCAGCACCACCACCCTGCACACGGTGAGCAGCATTCCATGGCCTGGGTGCCTCAGGCTGGGACACCACCTGGCTCCTCACCTCTGCTTGTGCAGACGCTGCAGAAGGAGCCACTGGTGGTCAGGCGGACGGAACTGACTTGGCTCCCACCAGCTTGGTTTGTGGCAGTGCTGACTGCAACCAGCGCCCTGTTCCTGGCCAGCCTGTGGTGTATGGCACACAGTGTGCTGCGCAGGTGAGCCCCAGCCCACAGAGTGGCACAGCACAGTGAGGTGGTGGCTCAGGGCTGCTTTCTGTTCTTCCTGCAGCAGCCGAAACCTCAGCAAGGTGCTTCTGAGTGAGAGGTGGGTGCTGGGCAGTGGTGAAGGCTCCCGTGGTGTCCCTGCAGCAGTGTGGGGAGACGTGGCACTTGGGGAGGGGATGTTGATGTCACCAGGGAGTTGCTCTGAGGAGCGGCCTCTGCTTTAGAGTAAGGGCACGGAGCATCGAGTGCAGGGATGGCGGTTTTACCAGGGAATGGCTGTGCCAGTTGGCAGGCTGGGGGCAGAAACTGTGCAGGGTGGCACAGCGCAACGCGAGGGTTGTTCCTGACACCGGCTGGAGAAAGGGGTGACAAGGAGCTTTGAAAGGCTGCGGAGGGAGAGCCTGAGGGGCGGCAGAGCCATCCCAGCCCACGGCAGGCACCCGTATAGCGACAAGGAGCCACATCAGCCTTCGGGGCGGCCGACGGCCGCCTACAGCTACATAACCCAGCGCTACGCGACGTCACGGATGGGCACGGAGCCGGGAGCGTGGGAGCAGCCTCCGGGTGACACGCATGGCTCGGAGCCACCCGGGGTGCCGTCCGGCGGGACCCGCGCTCCCGGGTGAGGAGCGCCCTCCCTTCCCCCCTTTTCCCCCGCAGCTCCCGGGACGCGACAGCGCAGAGCAGCGCCCGCGAGGAGGAGCGGAGCCGCCCGGCCGCCCGCAGCCCGTCCCTCTCGGCACCGCAGCCCTTCGACGGCCGCGCGCACGACCCACGTGAGCGCCGCGCCCCGGGTGAGAGGACGGGGCCGAGGGCACGGGCTGAGCGCTGCTCCCCCCGCAGGGACCGGCAGGGACTATCTGTTCAACAGCGTCACCGGGGCGCGGCGCTGGATCTGAGCACCCCACGCGGGACGGGGATCCCGAGCGCCCGCCGTACGTGGGGCGCAGACATTAAACAGTGCACGGACCGCGCACCGCACCGTCACTGCCGCGGGGCGCCCTGGGGAAGCGGGGGGAGGTCGGCGCCTCGAGCGGAGCCGGGTGGGAGCCGAGAGGGCAGAACCGAGGTGCGGCCACGGGGCGGTACTGTGCCCGGACGGCCGCCCTCCCGCGGGGCCGCCGCGCTCTGCTCCTCGGGCCGTGCCCACAGAAGGGCTCCCACCGCGGCCCGCGCTCGCTGCGCAGCGCCCATTGGTCTGGCGTCCTCCCACTGGTGGCCAATGAGACGGCGCACCCTGCGGGGAGGCGGGCCGTCGGGGGGTGTCACGTGTGCCTAACGTGCGCGGCCATCCGGAGGCGGTCCGCGCTCGGAAAGGGGCGGGGCGGTTTTAGGCTTGATTGACGTCTGTTCCGACCTATCAACGCGCCCGCTTCGGCCCCGGCGGGAGGGGCTCGGCTGCTGATTGCCGCAGAGCGCGGCGGGGCGGGCGTTGGACGGCGCGGTTGCTATGACGGCGCGCCCCTGGGGTCCGCCCCCTCGGCGGCCGCCATCTTGTTGTTGATTCGAACGGCGGGGAGCGGGCGGCGGCGCTGGGGGCTCGGGGTTGCCAGCCCCCGGCCGGGCAGGCGGAGCCGCCCCGGTGAGCGAGGCGGGCTGAGCTGAGGGCCGGGCACGGAGCACGGCCCCGTGAGGAGAAAGGGGAGGGAATGGGGTGGGATGGGTTGGAACGGGACGGGTTGGAATGGGACGGGGGGGAGCGGCACGGCGGCGTGGAGGATGAGCGGGGAGGGGCGGGGGGTCCGGGCGAGGGTCCGGGCGCGGCGGGAGGAGCCTGGCCGGGTCTGTTTGGGGCTGGAGGTCGGGGGATCCCGGCGTGCGGCAAGCCCGGCGGCAGCCCTAGCGGCCCTCCCTCTGTGCCCTTCCTTCTGCAGAGGCTGCGTGCGGCGAGGAGCCCTCGGAGCGCGGCGGTGCCATGAGAGCGGCATGGTGAGGGAGCGGCGCGGGCAGCGAGCTGAGCGCTCCTCCCGTCGAGCCGGCGCTGCCCCGGCTGTGCTCGGGGATCCGCGAGTCTGAGCGGCCGCCGTGCCCAGTGCGCGTGTGTGTGTGTGTGTGTGTGAGCGCGGCTGGGATGGGCTCGGTTTTGTATCCGAGCTGCTGCGAGGCTCCGTGCCCCTCCATCTTAGAGCTCTGAATCAGCAAAGCCCCCAACGGCGTGCTTCACTGTGTGCTGCTTTTGTCGTGCTGGCCTGTCCTGCGTGTTTCTGCTTTCTTCCTTTCACAGCCGGCTGTCCCAGCTCGGTGTTTCTGAATCCCGGGGCTGGGCTTTGCTAACGGAGCGCTGTATGATGCCGTAGTGGTGTGCATCTCTTGGCTGGGCTGTGTTGGGTTGGCTGGCGGCATGTCTAACAAAGAACTGCACTGTAACATCTTTATCTGTTGAAGCAACGTGTCCGACCAGATGACTGATCTGTGTGCTAACGGTCAGGGCTTCAAGGTAGAAGAATACTCTATTCTGGATGTACGTTGCTGGGCTGAGGCTTTGGGCAAGCTGCCTTTTCCTGAAAGCCTGTCAGGAGCTTGATTTAGAATTGGATGCATCATTTGTTAGGTGTCATCACTGTTAACCTAAACAGGCCTACTGTGGGACATCTTAATCCTACATAACAGTTCCTTGTCACTGAGGTTGAGGGGTGTTTCCCTGTGGCTGGGTTAGCTTAGCACTGCCCTGGGGTAAGTGCCCTACTTTAGAGCTGGAAGCAGTGGTGCACTTTGAAAAGATTAAGTGTGAACTCATTATGTACCAAGACATCACAGGGCTGATGTGTCAACTGCATAAAGCTCATGTTTTCTGTCTTTTGAGTTTTCCTATTGCTAAATTTTCATCCAGTAGCTTTAGGAAGTATTTCATTCTCATCCTAGCTTTTTCACCACAACCTTTTCCAGGTGTTTAAATGAGCAACCTGTTCCATTCTGGTTAGAGCCTATGGGGCTGACTTGGTGTGTCCTTTTCATGGCGTGGCCTCTGCTTCCTGTCTAATAAGGACTTCAGGTAGAGCAGGGGAAGTGAGCTTTGGCTCCCTGAGGCAGAAGTCAGTATATGCAGTGTTGTAAGTGGGATCTCTGAAGACCATAGGACTGGGAAGGATAGGGACCTCTTCTGAGCACGTGTTTTTCCTTGGGTGGTTGATGCTCTGGATATCCAGCAAGTCCCTCGTGGCAGTTTTGTGTGTTTTTGATGTTGAAAAAGAGCAAGTGAGCGTGAATCACTGGTGAGATGAGAGAGGTTTCTAGGATCTGCTTCTAGTCACTGGGAATTTGTGCCACCTTCTCCACGTAGCTCCTATTGCTTTGAGCTCATATAATTAAAGCCTGCAGCCAACAGGAGGGTCATGCCCTCTCCCTGCTGTTTGTGCCTTACCAGTTTGACCAGGGAACTAAAGACATTCACCCTGACCAAACTTCTTTCCTCCTGCTTTTGTGAGTAGTAGCATGATCTGCTTCATCATAAGGATGGCAATATCGGGCACGACCTTATTTTCAAAATATGCTGGAGGGCAAAATCAAGATTAGATGTGCACTGGGGGATCCCCCCTCGAGTGGCAGATTGTACAAGGCAACAGAATTGAGTGTTTCCATTGCCAGTATTGTGAAGTCAAGGTTAAAGTAGCAAGCACTCTGGTCAAAAAATGCCCTAGCTGAAGTTGTACCTGCAGCCTTAATCAGCTAATTAGCCTCCCCGACAAGCATTATAGTTTGTTCTTAATCATGCAGTTCCATGCTATTCTTGTCTATGCTAAGCTTCCTAGTGTTTTCTTCTCTTGTTCCTTCGCCCACGTGTGGCACTTATTACATTTATTAACCTCTGAAAACGTGACCTTGTGAAGCGCGATGAGCGTGAGGTGATGAGCCCTGCCCAGGCTGGGAGCTGCCTGCTGACCATCTGCTTGCAGCCTCCTGCTTTAATAGATCACCAGAGGCCTGTATAGACCTTGATTGTGTTTGAGATGTCTCTTCGTTTATTTGTCTGTTTCTCGAGGTTGCTGTGGAACTGGTGAGTGGGTTATGAGGTGGATCATGCTGTCTCGTGGGTTGTGTTTCGAGTAAGAAGCACGGGTGTTAAGCCTGAAGTTCAATATGAACGGCCTTTACTCTTGAGCAGGCACATCTCTTGGTTGAAGCTGTAGAATGTCTGGTGAAGACCTTCTTTGGGCCATAACCCAGGCACTTAACGCACTGCGACCAGGTTCCCCCAATCCATCCACCATCACTTAGCTTCAGGATGGTTGATACACACAGCGAAGTTAAGTGGTGATGCTGGGCTGCAGAGTGTTGGAAGGCTGCAGGTTATTGCTGGCAGGAAGCTGCAGCCTGAGTGTTTTTTCTCTGCTGTTGGCAGTGTCAGTCCAGTTGTGGTGCTGGGCAGGGTGTAGGTTTGAACTTGACCTGTGACGTTTGCAGATGTGTGGCAGTTCAGCAGAGCCCTTACTCTGTCTGTGCTGTATGACTTGGCTAAAAGGAATGTCTGTAATTTCTGGCTTCTTTCTTTGAGAAAGAACGGATTAAAAGCTGGGCTACCAAATGCAAGGAGTTCCCTCCTGATAACTGAGATGGGTGAGCTGGAGGAAGGAGTGAAAAGAACAAAGAAAATGTGACAGAAACCTCTGCAAGAATCAGGTTGACTATTTACATGACTTGTTGTAAACTGAAGGGACCCTTCAGATGCGAATAGCAGTAGCTGGCAGTCTCCTTTTTGTATTCCTGGTGTGACAGGAATGCAGAGCAGGATGCTGGCAAGTGTTTAATCTCAGGTTTGTTGCTGCTGTCATAAGGGTGGTGGGGGAGGAAGAGGAAGTGTCTGCATGGCTGCTTAGTTTCTGTTTTGCAGGCATTGCCTGTACACAGTGCTTTAGCTGTTCTGATGTGGCAGCAGCTGTTATTTTTGGCTTTCCCAGCATGCTGGTTTAGTAGATGCACTTTCTAATGGATGCAATTCTCCTAATTGTCTTGTTGGGGTGCTTGTGCTTCCTGTGTAGTTCCTTTCAGGTGCAGGTAGTACCTGGGAGCAAGTTATTTGCCTTTTTATTTTCTGTATGTATTCTGAGCGGCAATAACTGTGTGAAACAAGCATGCTGAGCTTAAACTGTTATTTTGCATGCTTAAGCTGTTGTTTTGCATAACCCTTGTCAGTATATGGTCAGTTTCACTTACAAGGAATGATGTTATCCCATTCTCTTGGGAGAATCACAGAATGGCTTGAGTTGGAAGGGACCCCAAGCGTCATCAAGCTCCAACCCCCTGCCACACGCAGGGCCACCAACCTCCATAGCTAATACCAGACCAGGCTGCCCAGGGCTCCATCCAGCCTGGCCTTGAACACCTCCAGGAATGGAGCATCCACAGCCCCTCTGGGCAGCTGTTCCAGCACTTATTCCAGAACAAGGAGATAAGGTTCTCTATCAGAAGGTGCCTCCGTATCACGATATCCACAGTACTGTTAGCACGACTGCAGTTGGTTCTGTTTAAAGGCAGCATGGGCGTAACTGCCATAATTGTATTAATAGAAGATCAGGACCAACCAAATCTGATAAACGCAGTAAAGAAAGTTGGAATATAATTTGCCTGTCCTGACGGGATGTTAGTAAGCATGGTTCAGAGCTCTGACAGATAAGCTGTGTCTGATTTAGCTTTTGTAGTTGGAAAGGTTATCTCCTCTACCAGCTGTCTTGCTGCTTTGCCAGAAGTTACCTCCCTGGTATTAGGGGCTGCAGCAGTTCCTGGTCAGCTGCCACCATTTAATACATACTTTTTCTTCATTAATATCCACTGGAGCGCAGTGTTGTGAACCAGGCCAGATGAAGAGCGGGCGTGCGCTCTCTTTTGCTTCACCTGCTGGTTGGTAACGATCAGCTGATGGCTGGAGGAGTCATTTGGGGGGCAGCGGCCCCTATAAATTAATTAAGAGCAGCTGTCAGAGCCCTGATCAGTACGTGAGAGTATTTGTGTCCTGAAAGGAGCTCGCTTTGAATTCAGGTCCCAGCCTTGAAGGAGGGTGTGATCTCAAACGCTGTGGATTGACGAAGCAGGTGAAGATCTAAACAAAGGCTGATGCTCCTCGTTAACTTGTTTCCATACAACCTTTTGCAGGCTGACTCGCTTCTGGCACCCCGCGCCCTCTTGGTTGCAGGAGGTTGGCTCCACGTCCCGGTGACTGTTCAACAGAGAGAGTTTGGGTAACATCTCTAAGGTAACTTTTCTGTTTTGCCCTGAACACAAATGCAGCCGCATTAAATATCATGCAAAGAAAAATCAGTTGCTTGCTTTTATACTTCTCGTGTTGTAATTGTATCCTTATGGTATGTGTAGATATTGTTTCTGGGAAGGATGCTCTTATTTTCAGAGGAAACTACAGGAATCCCCATAAAAGCACTAACTGGGAATGAAAGGCTCACTATTTATTAACTTTATCAATTAAATGACACAATTCTTTATGATAAGAACTAAGCTGCCAGGTTTTAGAAGCTGAATCTGTCATGCATTAGCAACTCTGGCTGTTTTGGTGGCTGAATGCAGCTGTGTTACCTTAATACTGATTTCAGGATTTGATTATTGTCTTTTTTTTTGTTTTTTTTTCATACCCTCTCCTTCCTGTTTTGAGTTTGGTGGAGTACAATAGCTTGGTGTGTTGGTCTTCCATGCTGCGAGGCTACTTTGTGCTCTTCTGAATTTAGAAGAGGCTCTGGCATACCTGCTGTCTTCCACCAGTTCTTCATTAACGAAGATACGACTCAGTAGCACTGTGTTATAAGTATCGGTTTACCACCAGGCTTGACTGACCTCAGGAGGCCCCGTTTTTAGGTAGTGGTTGTGTTGCACAGATCTCCTCTTTGGTGAGGAGGTCTCAGGGCTGTGGAACTTGTGGTGTTTGCTGGTTTGAAGTGCAACCAAGGATGCCAAACTCCACAACTGCCTTCGAGGGAGAGGAGTGTTGTGGTGGCTCTGCTGGAGATGCTCCTGTGTCTGTCACTGCTGACTTGCAGCAGATTTGGTGCTTATTTAAAGACTAGCAGTTGTGTAGCTGTTACATTCTGCTGTGACGTTGCTCTTTTTCCCCCTTGTATTGTATAGTGAGTTGTATTTCCCCCTTCCTAAAGCTGTCCATTTAAGAACAGCACATCAACTTGAATTCAGGTTACCTGTTGGTATCAAAGTGTTTTCAAGCATTTCACAAAGTGAATTTAGCAATACTGGAAGGGCACTAAGACAGGGTAAGGGCTGCTTGTTCTGCATCCTTTGACTGAACTGCCCAAGCTGCTTGAGCGTGTGTGGGGAGATGGCTGTGATCTCATTACAGCTAACGACAGGGATAAGCAGCTTCGAGCACCAGAATCAGCACAGCAGTGTCTGCAGATGTCAGTGAGTTATTTAAAGCAGGAAGGATTTGAGAGCGAGGCCTGGGGGGTTGCATGGTCCTGTGTGGAGAAACAACCGAAGAACAGCTAGGATGAAGACACTGAAGGTATTGCAGAGTGTGAAGTGTAACTGCTCCCTTGTGTTGTAGTACTGTGGATTGTAGCAAAACTAGCAAAGGCCTGGAGCTTTGGAAGGCCCTCCCAGTGCTCCTTTCTTAACAGAAGGAATACTTCACTTTTCCAGACTGTGATTTGTGTGTAAACTCCACACCAGGCTAATCACAAACATGCAGGTTTTGCCAAGATGAAATGTGACTGTCTTCAAGTATTCTTACTTTTGGGGACGTTGGGATGTTTTGCTTTGTTTCCTGTTTGGGTTGAGTCTGATGCTTTTTCTCAAGCTGTAAAAGTGACATTTTCTTTGGGCATAAAGCTGCTTCGTGTAATTCAAGTCTAATTTCTTTTTTTGCAGTTCTTACCATGAACACTGACCCAAATACGCTTACTGAAATTCGTAGCTAAATCTGAATCAATAAGCATTATCAGGCACATTTCAAACATCCTGTATAGAACTGAGAAAACCACTAACTGCTTTAGTCTGTCTGATAAATAGCACTGTTTTGTACCCTGCAAAATTGGAACAGCTTTTACTCTTTATTCTCCAGGCACTGTGTAAAGTGATGTTTCCTGTAGTACAGCACTGCTGTTTTTCCTGCACAAAACTAATCTGTTAATTATTCTTCTAGTTAAGTTAGGCTGTATTCATGTTACTGTGCTGTTAATCACAGCTGTCACAGAATTACAGGGGCTGGAAGGGAGCTCTAGAGATCATCCTCCCTCCCCGCCAAAGCCAAGCAGGTTCCGTACGTAATCTTTTCTTCTGTTGTAGTTCCTGTGGAAATAAATAGGAGATGCTGCTTTTGGGGTGATCTACGTGTATATGTACAGGTATTTTGCTTTAACAGATGCAGTCTGATAGGAGCTCAGCTTTAACAAACGAATTCTCTTTTGGCTTCAGAATTCTGTTACTTAGACAGTGGCCTCAGTTCTAACTGGTATTCTGCAAAGCCTGCTGGAAAGAGCTTTGAGCTCTGCTGAGCAGCTTAACATCTAGATAAGGTACTGGAAATCTGTGACCTGGGCAGTGTCTGTAAGAACTTGTTTCCAGCTGCTGCAGTGAACGGGAGGTTAAATGTAGGCTTTGTTTACCTGAGTCTTTACTTATTCTGAAAAGAAAGGATTTTGTGTTCCAGGCCTTCAGAATTGAGCTGGCTGCTGTGCTGGGGTATTCTGACATACCTGCTGTCCAGTCTCAGCATATGGTGTAAGGAGAGAAGTAACAAAGATCTGAAGCATTACAGGGCTCTTCTATTTAGGAAGAGCTTAAAAATACAGAAGAAGGAATTGTGTTCAGTGATTGTTGTTCTGGCATCCAAGAGCATCTTTATACCCTTGGCTATTTTTCTTTCTGCACCACCCTTGTTTCTCTGGATCACTGGGAAGACAGCACCAAAGGATGACACTGCTATGGTATTGCAGATGTTTCAAATGCCAAGTTTTGTTTTTTGCCCTTCAGAATGCATAGCATCTCGCCAAGCTTGGAGCTGTGACTAGCTGTGCAACTTGTGTATCCTCTGAGAAAGCGCCCTCGGATTCAGGTTGCCTTTTGTTGTCACACAGGTGGCAGGGGCTGTCTGCTCATTCACCTTCCAAAGCACGCTGCAGGCCACAGAACAGCTCTGGAGGTACTCTGACAGCTGCCAGGTTTTCAATCTGAGCATCTTGCAGATGACAGCAGAAGGCCCCTATCGAAACCCCTTCCCTGAGTATCTTCTGTATGCTTTGCCACACTGGATTTTTAGAATCATCGCTAGGAAAGTGAGAGTATCCTTGTATGAAGTTCTCTTTAGCCTTGTAGGCAGTGTCAGATTAAATCTGCTGCCTTAGCTTTAGGCGCCCTCGGATCTTATGTATACTTTACTGACATTAAGCACTAGCTGTAATGCATGACTTTTATCTAAAATGTTTGTTGTGACAGGATTTTTACCTTATTTTTATGCCCTGACTTGAAAAGTGAAATATTGCTCTTTAATCCCCGTGTTTCCTGGCACTGTTTCCTTGCATGCAGTAAGGACAAAAAGAATTCAGTAACAATACGAGCTGTATCTAACAAGAAAGTTGCTCAGACTTTTCTTTCCTTCTGCTTTTTGTAGGTGGGTTCACCACACAAGATAACATGCAGGCTTTTAGTGCTTCTATCTGGAAGATGTTAGAGTGAACAGATCTCAAGTTCAGAAGCTGTAGCTCGACTTTTCTTGTCGTGACCCTTAAGGGTCATCAGCTTAGGAAAATTAAATGGTAACAAGTAAGGGGTGTGGATTTGCAGTGTGATTATGTGGCTTTAAATCCCTGTGGACGTGCCTATAAGGTCATTTCTGCTACAGACTGGGACAGCTGCATTCATCAGCAGGTTCACCCTTGTCTGGTTCAGTTCTGCTGCTGGAATCCCTTAATGTAGATACAGTTGCAATGAAGAGCCAGGCTTTTGAAGTAAAACTTGTTTTGCTTTGGGTGCTGAGAGGGGAAGCAGTGGTGTGAGGGCTTTTTTCACTGCTGAGAGCAGCACGTGGGCTGAAGGAAATAAGTATTAGAAAAACAGAGCCCCAGTATTCTTTTTTTCCAGTTTAATCCATTTTTTCATCAGCAATTTAAAAAAAGGGAGAGGAATGGGGCGCAGCAGCAGTCATCTCTCAGTTGGTCTCATAAAAAGCTTTTACCTCTCCCCACAGACCTTGCTGTATTTATTTCACAACAACTGTCCACTCAGCACAGTAGAGCATCCTGCAGTTCCCTTTTCTCAGGTGGTGAAAGTGAAGCCACGTCCTGGGCACTGGTTGGTGTTGGGCTGTGGAGCACAGCGTGTTTGGCTGCGTTGCATTTCTCTGCCTCTCTGCTGCTTAACAGACCCCTGGGTTTGGTTTCGTGTTAGTGCCTTGTAGCTATGTTAGCAGGAGGAACTGCTACATAACAGCTGCTCCTTTTCTTTTGGCACAGGACTGTGTAGCAGAACAAAGTGAATTTGTTTGGTTAGTATTGCTTTTGTGCTCGTAAATCTTCCCATGGAGCTGACGTGCTTCTAGATGGTCCTCTTCTGTTTCTGCCATTTTGAGCAGAAAAGTAGCTAAAGCATTTGATTCTTTGGCCAAACGCAGCACTGCTCTCTGTGAAAGCATGAAACGCAGCACTGCTTTCATGTGCAAGCAGTGCCCTAATTTGAGTTGGTATTAGCAATCTCTGTTCAGTAGTTCATGGATTGGGGCAAAAAATTCCAGCAATCATGAAAAGTTAACTATCAAGTAAGACTAAGTTGAACTGGAATGCAGAGGATTGCTGGAAATAAAAGGATCTCCAAACTGCAGTCTTTTCAGCAGTTTATCACAGAATTGTAGGGGTTGGAAGGGACCTCCAGAGTTCATCAAGTTTACTTGACTGCTCTGCTGTTCCTTCTTGACATGCAGCTGGCTGAAGCCTGCCAGTGCTGAGTGGTTTGGCTGAGGGTGCTGAAGCCTTCAGTGAAGCACCAACACCAGTAACCTCTCCCTGCTTTTCTTTTGTAGCATCTTGCTTCATCCAGGTGACAGCTGGGCACTTGTGACCTGTTAACTACAGTGGGAAGGTGTAAGGCTTTCTGTATTTCTCTTTGCTTTCGCAGTGATCAGACAACAGCTGGGCTGTGTGATAAGACCCCGTGATGCAATCAAGGGCCTGCCAAATAAAATGCTGTCTTTTTCTAACCAGGGGAGCTTACAGCTGAAACAAAGTATTTGTTCAGCTT